TGAGCTGGTGCCCAGGCCACGGCTGGGGTCACACCTGTGAGACCTCAGGTCCCCGTGGGAGGGGCCTTGTCCAGCCCTCCTGATCTCTGGGGAGAGGGACCCAGAGACCTGAACTCTGGTCCTCCCAGCAGGGGCCCCAGTGAGACCCTTCTCTTTTCTGTGGCTCGTGGCTTTGTTCTTCCCTCTATTTCCTCCCCTTCCTCTTTCTTCTTCCCTCTCCCTCCCCCCTCCCCTTCTCCACACTCTCCTCCTCTGAAGATGATGTCATGTGTAAATGTTGCCCAGTGGCAGCCAGAGGACAGAGCGATGGTGACATCTGGGGTAAAGATGCAAGGTGGGGAGGGGCTGGATGGCTTATGAGACAGTGTCACTGAAACCTTGGGATCTTAATTCTCATCATGAGTTACAGTGATCTCATGTGAAAGAATGCAGTGAGGATAAAAATAAATTGGGCTCATAAATAAACGTGGAATTTGGAATTGGTGGAGCAAATAACAATGTCGCTCTCTTCCCAAGCACCTGCGCCTTTATCCGCAGCTGGCCACTGGGGGGCGCCCACTGCTCCCTGGTCATCCCAGCGTCCAGGCAGGTTCACTTCCCCATCGCTCAGGCGGGGAAGGCAGAGCTGAGGGAGGCGACAGCAACACCCCACTTCCCCACTTTCCCTTTCCCTTCATTCTGAGCTGGATTCCACTAGTCCTGTCCATCTCTCCTGTAGCTCGAATCTCTGACTCAAAAATTATAGCTGGCCTTGCACACAGGATTCTTGGAGAGATGGCAAGACCTCCAGCTTACCTCTCTGACTCCCCCAACCCCCATGCCTCAGGGGCTGTCTGTCCCAAGGCCCCTTCCAGCAGTCTGCCCCAGCTCTGCTTCCCCATCCAGGGTCTCCCACTTTTCCCCTGCATCCCCTGTCTCTCACCCTGCCCCAGTAGAATCCAGTCTGCTTACCGCCTTCAGGCCTCCCTGTCCCATCTGCCTCCCCAGGTCCCCCCACCCACAAGACCCCTGCCAGATAGATCCCTCAGCAGCCTCTGCCAGTGAACAGAAGCATCGATCTGCTCAGGGCCGCTGCCACCCAGAGCCACTGCTGGCTAGATTGGAATCGATCTCCTTGGCTTTTCACCAGGCTGCTCTGTCTGGGGAGGGTCAGGGCCACTTGAGGCCTTGGTGGTGTCTGGAGCAGGCCCGGGGCAATGGGAAGGCTGTCCTGGTGTCCCGACAGCCCACAAGCCAGGAATGTCTTTAATTCAAAACAATGTGCTTTCTCCTCATTGTCTTGCCAGCTTCTCACGCACTGCCCAGGAGGGGGATTTAGAGATGTTGTCCCCATTTTACAGATTAGTACCCTCAGGCTCTGAGAGAGAAGAGGCTTTTAGAATGGAGAGCTAAAAGAATGGCTAACCTAGGACCCCTCAGAGGAAGAGCTGACTCTAAATCCAGGAGGTCTCTGGTCTGGGCTTTTGTTTCTCCCAGTGTCCTGACCTTGGGCGCCCGGGGCTGAGTCAGATAAATTCTTGCCTGAGCCCTCTGAGCCCCCAGGGGCCTCTTTATCCCCAGGCAACAGGATGGTGCCCCAACCAAGAATCCCAGGCCAGTTGTCTCAGTCTACTGGGGCCCCACAGAGAGGAGAGAACTCTGCACAGAGCAGGGAGCTAGGACTCCTGGGTCAGGCAGCTACCTCACCTCTTTCCCTGAGTTTCTTTGTTAAGCCAAGGATCTCGAAGGTTCTTAATTTTCAGAAGAGTCTAAAGATTTCAAATCAAAGCCCCATCTCCCCTCAGAGACAGCCCATTGTCTCTCCTACTTCCTCCTCCCCCCCGCCACCCCCCAGAATCCAGGTCCTGCCTCACCCATTACCCTGCACGCACCTGCCCATGTCCGGGCACCTGAGACTGAGCCCTGTCCTGGAGGAGGCAGGGAGGAGTTGGTCCTTGCTCCGCTGTCTCTGGGCCTGCTCAGCAGCCTCCTCCCTATCCCCAGTGCCATCCACTCCTGTGAGGTTTACGGGGCTGTAGTCATCAATAGGGCTGTGGGCACACGTTCACTGTCTGGAGCCTCCGCCTCCCCACTGCCTGCTCTGACAGCCTGGACCTGTACCTGCCAGCCCCACCTTGGCCCCTTTAATCGACCTGGGAGAGCCTGGGTGACCCTGGACCTCCCCACTGTCCCTGCTTCTCTCAGGCTGGCATACTGCCTGCCCCACCCGTGTGCACTGAGACCCCGCCCCCAGGAGCCAGGGAAGGATGCTGGCACAGCTCCCCAGGAGCTGGCACAGAGGGTGCAGGTGGGCATGAGGAGCTCTTCTGAGTCCAGGGACGTGGAAGGGCAGGAGGGCAGATGAGAACTGACCTTTCCCAGGTACCCAGAGCCCTAGGTGGCACAGCGAGCCTGGCTGGCTGCCGCAGGCGGGTGGGGGGCGCCCTCTGGCTCAGGCAGGGCTCAAGCTGGGCTTGAAAGCTGGGCTTCCAGCAGTGAGGCTATAGGCAGAATCCACCCCACACTGGGCAAAGGAAGATAACAAAGTAAGTATCCAGGGCGCTCCACCATGGAGGGTCTCTTCCAGCTCAGCAGTGTCCCATGAGGTAGCAATCCTCCTGTTGGTGGTGAGGGTGAGTGGAAGACAGAGTTTAAGGGTCATGGGAGGCAATCCCCTGACTCTGGTTGGGGCTATTTTTCCAGCACCCAGAGCACCAACCCCCCATCCCGGCCCTCCTTCTTCTGGATGATTTTCAGGTCACTTCTTTTCAGCCATATTCACTGGCCACCATGGGGTGCCACTAACACCTCAAGAGCAAGGGCTGGGTCCCCATCAAGATGGCCCTGGGGCTCCCAGCCTCAGCCAGGTGCCAGCTTCAGGAATTTTCTCGCGAACCTTCATACTGTATTAATGCAAACTCAATTTGTTCTTTGTTAACTCACTTTGAATTTAATGCATTCACTTAAAAGGAAACCTTAGCTCACTGCCATCCCAAGGAATGATACCCATGAAATCAGGAGTTGGGCCTTCTTGTTTTTTTTTTTTTTTAATCCTTGAAAATAAAAATAGAACTATTAATCTCTGAAGCAGCATTCCTCCCATAGTCATCTCTTGAGTGTCTGGACCTCACTTTGGGGAGCACAACCAAGGGACAGATATCTGGAGGAGGGAGGGACCCCAAACCCAGCACCAGGGTGGGGAGACAGCAGGTAAACAAGGAGTGCCAGTGGTATCATTGTTCTAGCAGTAAACAGTTGTCGTCTGGCCAGAAGGTATGGTGAGAATGGGTGAGGTGAATCTAATAAATATTGGAGTCAAATCTGGCCTCTACCACCTACTGCAGCTTTGGGCATGTCACTACACTTCACTGACCTCAACAGTCCCATCTCTGAAAATGGATTACAGTAATACCCTCATAGCGGTGCAGCGAGGTTTGAAGGCCATGATAACTGATCAGTCAGACCCTTGGAAACTTCAGAGCGCTGGGTCTCTGGGAGCCATTCTTCCCTTGGTTTTGATGGGAGGTGCTGGGTCGACTGGGTGTCTGTCCTGGAGATCTACACGCCTCGGCCACATCCAGGGAGGAGTGTATGTGTGTGTTGGGCAAAGGGTGGCTTTCCCTGAAATGTGGCTGAATGTCCTCTTGCCTCCTGTGGTGGACAGGAGGGGTCTGAGGTACAGTGGATGTGTGGAGGGAGGGGGCCAAGAGAGGTTGCACTGGAGGGAACCTGGCCGGGTGCCAGAATCCTCAGCGCCCCCACTTGTGCCCCCATCGGCCCCTGCATTGGGCTGCCTGTGTCTGCTACAGTGCTGGATGCTTTCAAGCCAAGGCACCCTGAGGGTTTCACCTTTGAGACTAGTGAATTGTGAGGCTGGGGTTATGCTGGGAAAACCGTGTTTGTCTGCTAAGTGGATGATTTCTGGAAATGAGGGAGGGTAAATTCGTGTTATGACCAGGAATATGGCTCAAGTAAACCCCAGCAGTTCCTCCCATCCCTGGTATAGGTGACACCTTGGAACCACCGTCCCTGCTGGGCTATGGGAAGGTCAGCATGGAGGCTGGAGGGTGGGAGACCGCAGAACTGGGCCTGGGGAGGCCAGGAGAGGGCTCAGGGCTGGTGGGCAAGTGGGGATGGGCTTCAGAGTTCTGCATGGAGACCTCAACCCCCGGCCTTCTCTTTTTTTCGCTTCTGTACTGTCCTTTGTCCCCTGTGCGTCCCTTATAGGTCGTGAACTTGTGTGTGTTGGGAGGGAGACTGAAGGAAGGGAGGGGGTGGGGAGGGCCCCAGCGGGGAAAGCTTGAGCTGTTCTGTCTGCTTTCTTTGAGTTTGTCCCCAATCCATCTCTCACTGTCTTCTCTGTGCCCAGCCTCTCCTGTCTGTCTGTCTGTCTGTCTTGGGGATGGGGAGGGAAAAGGGGGTCCCAAACCCCAGACCCTGGACCTGCATCTTCTTGGAAGTGTGATTTTTGCCCTCACTTCCCCCCCCCCCCATTGTTTCCTAGTCCTGGCCCTTTTCCAAGCCTACCCCCAGCCTAAAGACAAGTGTATCCTAGACATGCTAGTCTGAGGGAGGAGGTTAGCCTCCACCCCACTCCCAAGAGGATGCTCTTGAAAGAAAGACAGTGCAGGTTCCTTTCCACAGTTTGCAGGAAGCATCTAAAAGGAACCCCGCTTCCCTCTCCTGTGCACCCTAGCTTAAGGAAGGAGGAAGGGGATGTGCGGCTGGAGAGGTGCCCAGGACTCCTGCTCCCAGCCCCTTCTTGGCTCCTAAGGCCAGCACCTAACCCGCATCATTATCCTCCAACCCTGCAGAAGACCAGAAAGCTGGACACTGCCTTTGCCCCCCAGCCTTCTTGCTTGCCCCGTTCTGCCTCTTCTGTTCCTAGTGCCTGTCGGGCAGTCCCTGCCTCACCCCAGGGGCCTCTTGCCGCCCCTCCTCGCAGTGACCCCAGTGGGGGATGGGCAGTCCCAGGCCGAGCACGCCCCGTGACCCCGCCGAACCCCCTCTCCCCCTCGCAGATCCGGAGCGGAGCAGCCCCCCCATGCTGTCTGCAGACGATGCCGAGTACCCTCGGGAGTACCGGACCCTGGGGGGCGGGGGCGGCGGGGGCAGCGGGGGCCGGCGCTTCTCCAACGTGGGGCTGGTGCACACGTCCGAGCGGCGGCACACGGTGATCGCCGCCCAGAGCCTGGAGGCGCTCAGCGGGCTCCAGAAGGCGGATGCCGACCGCAAGCGCGATGCCTTCATGGACCACCTGAAGAGCAAGTACCCGCAGCATGCCCTAGCCCTGCGGGGTCAGCAAGACAGGATGCGGGAGCAGGTGAGTGGGGCCGGCCGCGGGCTGGGGAGGGGGTCTGCCTTGTGCGCCCCTGACGCCAGGCTCATCCTGATTCTGAGACGCCTCTGGAGCAGAGTGGGGGATGTGGAAGTCTGCCGGTTGGCTCTGGGGAGCCTGGGGAGGAAGGGTGTGGGGGCTCAGCTCCCAGACCTCTGCCGGCAGTCTTGGAATTTGGAGCATGGGACTGGGCAGAGAAAGTCCAGCCTCCAACTGGGGCTGGTGGGCTGAGAAGGAAGGCTGTCTGGGAGCTCAAGAGAGTGGTGGGGAGGAAGAAGGGATGGCCTCCAGGGCTGACTGTTCTGAGTCTGAGAGTCCATCTGGTGCTGGAGTACCTTGGGGTGGGCATCTCTGTGATATGGCCCCTAAGGGAAGGTCAGACCTTGGGAGCTTGAGAAGGCTGGGTCTGCTGTGCCCCGAAAGAGGCCAGAATTCCTGGCGCCTTTCCCTCCTCCCCCATTCTTCACCTGTTCCTTCCCCCAAGACTTGCTGTGTGAGTTTGAACTAGAGGACTCCCCACTCTGTGCCTTGTTTCCCTCCTGTCATCAGTAAGCCTTAGAGGGGAGTCGGGACTCCAGCTCCCCTGGTCCAGGACTCGTCTCCTTCTATATGAGGTGCGAAGTTTCCTTTGTAAAGCTCTCCCAGATCCTTGGTTCCTGGATGCATCTCTGCATCTGAGTAAGGCCTTCTTGTCTGCAAGGAAGTTCTGTCTTGGGACTGGACAGTCCCACATTGGTGCGGGGCCTTGACAGCTGCTGCATGTTGGTTGTTGAGACTCAGGCGTTATCTACTCTGGGAAAAAGAGTGGAGGGGAGGGGAGTTGTTCCCATCAGCACGCCAGCATCCTTTCAGTCAAGCCTTGGGGTGTCAGTCCCTGCTCCCACAGAAGTCTGGCTCTGTCCCCCTTTCCAAGTACTGCTGGGCATGGCTGGGTAGGGGGAAGACTGTGCCCACCTCCATCTTCACTGCAGGGAACAAAGATACATTGGAGCATATCTTGTACCTTATCTGCCTCTCATATCACCTCCAGTTCTGTCCAACCTTTACCTTTTCCCATCTCCAGAGCGCTCCCGGGAGCAGACTTCCAACTGGGATAAGGGAGAGTTGCAGATGAAGGTGATCAGGCCTTCCCCTTCAGGGGTCCCTCTCGGTGGATTCCTTCTGCTGCTCTGACTTAGGAGGAGGGGGCAAGGCCCTTTGTGATCTAGATGGGGTGAAACCTAAGTATAAGGAGCACAGTCAGTCGGAAGAGGGTTTGGAGGAAGGGAGATCAGGTGGACAGCCCTGGTCAGGGAAGGCTTAAACTAAGCTTAGAAGGATGAAAAGGGTCTAAATGGTCACGGAGAAGGAGAACAGTTTTAGGAGGTAGGAAGATGGGAGGTGAGTATAGATCTGAGTTGCTTTGGGGACTGGCATAGAGGTCCAACAGGCCGATGCAGAAAGCTCAGGGTGGGAGGCCGTGGGAGGCGTGGGGCCAGATGGTGGAGACTAGGAGGGCCATGGTTGTTTTTAGATGGTGAATAGGAGGGGGCAGGGGGAGTGTCTGGAGGCAGGGGCAGGAAAGCTGGAAGAGAGTGTGTTAGGGAGGATGAAGGAAAGGGATGGGGTGGGGGTGGGGTGGAAGGAAGATGAGCAAGGCTTGTTTGCTGTCTGGATCCAGAAGGCAAAGACAGAAAAACCTGGGTGACAAGGAGATGTTGGTGGTGCTTAGGGGGAAATAAAATGGTTGGGAGGGAAACATTTGGGAGGGTGAGGGACTGGAAGAGGGGAGATGAGTTAGAGGGGGCATAGGAGTGTTTCTCCAGGATGTCTGTTTAGGTACTGAATATACAACTCAAGACTCTAGAAAGGGGGTTGAGCATGAATGAGGTGGGCAGAAATGGAAGTGGGACTTGGGATAAGTGTAGTCACCAAGGCAGAATGGAGTCTGAGAAGAGAAAGGGCTCAGGATGGATGGGAAGAGGGGACCAAGAATGTCCTATATCCCCGAGGAAGGGGAGGAAGGCCCAGCAGGAGGGCCCCCTGCACTTCTGAAGTCTGGAAACAACCCTTGGGACCAGCCAGGATCTGTGGATCCATAGGGTATAGAGAACTCCTTTCTCGAGCTATGATGATGTAACGGCCAGTGTCAGGGGTTGGAGGTGGCGAGGGAACAGGACTCCTGGGCTGCAGACCTGTCTGGGGAGGTCTGGCCAGAAAAAAACATGAAGACAGACTGGATGGCAGCCTCAAGGGGCAGCAGGCCTGGGAGAGAGGATGTGGGCATATTTGAGGGCCTCCTATGTGTCTGACACGTTCACTGGCACAGAGCAGGCGCTCAGTAAATACTTAGTAAATGAATCAAAGCACAGCCACTCAACAAATTCATTCCTTTATTCCTTCACTCTTTCATTCCCTGCCATGCGTGCAAGTGGGTAGGATCTACAGACGTTTCACTTACACCTAGTGCTCAGTGCCTAAGCCTATCTGGGGCTCAGTACATGTTTGTGTGGTGACCGAATGAGAGGTGGACGACTTTGAGGATGCTGAGGGGGAAGAGGGCCTGGAGGAACCAGGAAGGGATGGGTTTCCAGTCTCAGGTGTGGTGTGGGAGAAGAAAGCGGCCTCCCTGAGATGGGGGGGAGGAAGGCAGTGCTGCAGGGCAGGGGTACACTGGGATGAGGCCCCCTCCTTCCCACGTCTGTGGGGTAGGAGGTGACAGCTTCAGCCAGGAGGGAGTGAAGAGCTGGAAGAGGGGAGAGGCGAGGGGCAGCTCCCTTGCAGAATGTCCAGAGAGGCAGTGAAGAATTGACGAACAGGACTTCAGGAGTATCTGTTGGGGAAGGCTTTGCCCTGGGCTCAGAGAGCCCCCAGCCAGGGGCTTTCTGGAGAGAAAGACCCGGAAACAGATGGAGGGCCCTAGTTAGAGGCGTAGACTTGGTAAGGGACTAGCCAGTGTTGCAGCGTCCCTCTGCAGTGTGAGCTCAGCGCCAAACTGGCCCCCGGAATTCCCCGCCCCGCCCCGTCCCAGTGCCCCAGCGGCTCCTGCCCGCTCCCCCTAATGGGGTGTCCCCCGCTTCGCACACACAGGTTGGCGGCTGGACCGTGGACCCCGTGTGCCTTCTCAGCTCCCTCTGCTCTCACCTCCACGGCGACTCCGCCCCCTCCGGGGCTGGCCAGCCGGCCCAGGTGAGTCACCCGCCTCCTCCCACCCCCCAAACCCATGGCAGACTTGGCCTTTGGGGAGGATATTTTTTGGGAAAGGGGAGATCCAGGATTTTAATTTTGCACCCCTTGCTCTTATGTGGAGCCCGCATTTTCAGAAGACTCCTATGCCCTGTACTCTCCCCCGATAGTCTAATTCCTACCGTTCCCGCCCCAGAGGGAAAGGGAAAGTGTTAGTCACTCGGTCGTGTCTGATTCTTTGCGACCCCATGGACTATAGCCCACCAGGCTCCTCTGTCCATGGAATTTTCCAAGCAAGAATACTGGAGTGGGTTGCCATTTCCTTCTCCAATTACCTCCCCAAACCTGTGCCAAAGCTTGGCTCTGGGGAAGGAAGTTTTTTGAAGGGCATTTATTTCCTCAAATTAAAAAAAAATGTTTTTTTTTTAAAAAATTCTCTCTTTTAAACTGGAATATGTCTCTCCTACCCTCCCCCACTGGTTTTCAGGAATCTCTTGTGCCCAATTCCCACCCCCACTGCAGACCATCTCATTTCTCTATCCCCACCCGCCCTCCATCTCTGAGCAGACCCAGCCTTTCCCTGATGTCTCATCAGCAGGAGGTCCTTCATGATGTCTTTCTCTCACCCCTCTCGCTATGTCTGATGCTTAATTTCAAAATCTGAAGACAACCTTGGCATCTAGCCACTTGTTCTGAACTGATTGCCTGGTTCTTCATCATGCCACAGTTTCCCTGATGGGAAGATGGACAGGGACACCCAGAGACAGTATCTTAAGGGCTCGGCCTCCCAGCTCAGGCCTAGACATTTCCGTGGGAGAAAAACAGGCATCTGAAGCCCCAGAGGGGAGGAGGGACCAGAGAGTCAGAGTTGCAACAGGCCAGGGGCAGCCCTGAGGAGGCCTTGACTTGAGGGTGGCAGAGGAGGCACTGTGGCAGAGAATCTAAGAGGGAACCATTTCTCTCCCTCGTGCATCCTGCTTCCTTCCCCTGGAGAAGGGCAGGAAGTCTTGAGTTTTTCAGTGAGAATGAGGAGAAGGAAAACATGACAGCCTAGGAAATGGCTCCAGAGCAGGGACTCTTAGCTGTGTATAACTCAAGTCTAGCATGAGATTGGCGTGCTTGGCATCACTCACAGGGCACCCAGCCCACTGTCCTTCCTGGCTCTTGGCCCAGTATTGACTGAACTTAGGGACCAGAGATGTGTCTGCCCCCGAGGCTAGACAGCAAGTGGAATGGACTCATCTAGAGTGGTCACATGTGCGATAGAGGTCAGGCTGGGACAGGGATGGGGATGAGGTGTGAGCCCCAAATGGAGCAGATGGAATGTCTTGAGTTGGAGTGGTGGAGGGAAGTGAGGCTGGATTTCGTGAACTTGGCGTCCCAGGTTATGGGGCCCCAGGCCTGTCCACATCTGGACTCAACTCTGTTGGAGGGAAGGGGAGAGCTTGAAGGGGTCTTCACCCCCAGGACTTTGAAGTACAGAGAACAGTGGCCATGCACAGGATCTTGTCATCACTTTATACCTAGTCCTTATTGAACTTCTCTTTCCGGATGGCTGTGTCTGAGGCCCCTTTTTGTGAAGTGCAGGACCAGAGACGTTCAGCAAATGCCAGAGTCACACAGTCGAGCAGGATCAGACGTCACCGAGGACATTTAGGCATCCTAGGTCGCCCAGGCTTGGCTCGGAATTGAATCACTGGAGAGCTGGAAGGGTCACGGTGCACCGCGGAGACCCTGGTGGGGAGAGGCTGTAAGCTCAGAGAGTGGCGGGTCCGGGAGACCAGCCACTCTCCTCCCCGCCACCCTAGGCCAGATCGTTAGGGGTGGAGGCCTGAAGAAGACCCTGGGAGGGGACAGAAGGCCAGACTCCAAGTCGCAGCCCCTCCCCCGCTTCCACTAAGCTGTCTAACCTCCCTCTCTCCTGCTGCAACCCGAGTCCCGGGCGGCGGGCCGGCGTATCGGGTGACCGCGGCGACGCAGCCACCAGCCTCCGCCGTTCCTCGGCGGGGCTGCGCCGGCGGGGCCGCGCCGGGGAGGGGGCCGGGGAGAGGATGTGCTCGGCGGCGCGCCGTGCCGCGCCAGGTGGAGTCGCGGTTACCGGGGCGACCGGGGCCCGGGCCGGCTCGGCGGCGGCGGCTCTCGCATTGCAGTAAAGGGCACCGGCGGTAGCGGCTGCGGAGGCGGCCGGGGGAGGGGAGAGCCCGGGTGGGTGGGAGTAGGGGGCCGCCCTCCCTCCCCCTGCCCGACGCGCGACCTGGGGCTGGGGGCCCCCCGCGCATACACCTGTGGCCGCAGGTAAGGGGGAGCGGCTGCGGGGGCCGCGGTCGCCGCCTCGGGTTCCGCGGGGCTGGGGCGCGGAGACGGGAGGCCCTCCCACCGGGCTAGGAGGGGCGGTCTGGGGCTGGGGGCACGCAGGCAGCTGAGGTTCCCGATCCCTGAGAAACGCCCCCTCCCCTCCCCCATCGCGTTCGCCGCTTTCCGCAGGGGACCGGCCCCTACCCCGACACGCGGCTGGCGCCCCCTCCCCCAGCCTCAGAAAGTCATGACCTTTTCGGGGTGCGCCCTCGCCTCCGGTTCAGCGCCGGTCCCGCAGCACCACCGCCCCCGCCCCCCACCCACACTCTGCATGGGGAAGGGGTAGGAGGCGGCCGTGTTCGCAGGCACGTGCGTCGCGGTGAGAGGCTGGAGCCCTCGGGGGTGGGGGTCGTTAAGGCGCCCCAGCCTGGGGCGGGGTGGGGGGCGAGTGTTTACGTGGACCCGTGTTCACTGGAGTTGAGAGGTGGGTGTGTGCGCCGGTGCACGCGGAGCCAGGGGACTGGAGCTAGGGTCCGACCCATAGGGTGCCCTCCCTCTCCCGAGCCTGCGTGGTCGTTGGGGCTGGAGGTCAGGGAGGGGTCATGCACTCACCTAGCCTGCAGGGGACGTCTGCCCAGGGGAGGGGAAAGACCTCAGCTGGCAGGGCTGAAGCTCCCAGGGGACAGGGCCCCGCCCTCCCAGGGCAGGAGTTGGGGTGAAAGGACCAGCTGCAGGGGCAGGGAAGAACCACCCCCACCCCCCACAAAGGGTGCCTAGGGTGGAGGAGGCAGGATGTTAATTCCTAACCCCCTGGAGGGAAGAAGTTGGTTCCTCTTCTCACCTGGGAGTTTGAGGACCCACTGGCACTGCTTCCTTGGGTCTCCAGGAATCTCCTTTCCCGTATTACTGAAAGCCTGGTCCCTATAGAATGGATGGTTGACTTCCATATTATCCTCTTAGAACCCTCTCATTTTGCCCCTGCTCCCCTAAGACTCTTCCCTACATGTGATGACCCTCAAGTGGCTTTCCTGTGCAATCCTTCCTTTTTTCCACAGTCTCACTGTCCTCTGGAAAGGTGAGACACCCCCTTTCTGAGTCTGGGGGAGGGAGACAGCTTTACCCTTGGGTTGGGGAGCCAGATCTCTCTGGGCCCTTCCTGCCCGCTGACCTCCTTCCAGGGGTTTCTGGTGCTGGGCAATTCCCAGGGAGAAGACCTAGAAGGCTGAGCAGTGCAGGGTGCCAGGAGATGGAGAGTGGTGCCAGGGAAGAGCATGCAGAAATGCACCACCCCACCCCCCTGCCCATGGCTGGTCCAGAGTTCTTGGCAATGATTTGTGGCCAAATATTTGTTGAGAGGGCCTCTTACACCAGGCACCGTGTGGGGCAGGGCGGGAGGAGCTGACACCAGGGAGAGGGTGAGGAGGAAAGGGTGCTGGCGACTGCACGAGGAGAGTCCTACCTTCGCAAACAGGAGGAGCCTCTGCTCCTCTCAGTCACCCAAGGCTGTCCCAGGGGGTTAATACCCTGGAAAGAGACAGACAGGGATGCACGACATCCCCAAGGCCCCCTCCCTACTACGGTTTTCCCCTCCAAGGACACTGAGTTGCCAGGAGACTGTCTCACCCTAGTGAGGACACCCTGATAGGACCATCCTTCCCACTTTCCAGGGGGGACTGAGGGGCAGCATTCTGCGTGCCCTACCAGCCAGCACCCCAAGTCCCGGGACTCTGGTCCCAGCCTCACTCCAAGTTCACCAATACAAAGACAGCTACTCTTCCCTCTGCCCGCTAGTGGGGCTTGGCTGGCCCATCCTGTGGCACTGGTGTCACCCAGGCCTCTCCCCTGGGCCCAGCTGTTGATCTCTCCAGGTCTGAGTGCCTCAGGGATGTGCCTAGCATTGCCTGAGGCAGGCCCATGTTGGGGGCCCACCTAGCATGGCTGTAGCCGGGACCCATCCCTCTTCCGCTCCCAGAGATGTGAGGTGGGCACCAGTCACATACTGAGCCTGGTATGTTGACTTTTGGGGCTGGGTGGGGGAGGGGCATTTTCTGCTTCTTTTGAATCAGGACACATGATTGTCCTACCTGACACATGACGTCTGGGACATTATAGGCCTGGTACAGTGGCTGAGGTGGCCAGAGGCACCGTGACCTGGCTAGTGGGGGGAGGGAGGCATGCGACTCTGTGTGTGTGTGTGTGCATAGTATGTGTGTGTGTGTGTGGCTTTGTGTGTCTCTGCAGTTGTTGTGTATGCGTACGCATATGTGTGAGTGGGCATCCCTGTCTCTGTGTGTTTCCGTGACTCCCTAGGAGCTAGGGCTGGGGTGGGGGGGGGGTGCCTCTGTGATTCTGCTTGTAGCAGTGTGTGTGAGCAGGTCAGTGCCTGGTGCGGGGTGGGGGTGGGAATAGGCTGTGCATGTTTGTGTGGTTGGGGTTGGTCCACCTATGGATATCTCTGTCTGAGTTTCTGTGTTTCAGACTGTGGCCGGCTCTTCTCTGAGTGTTTCTGTCCCTTTGTGGGTGTGTCTGTTGCTCTGGGTGTGTTTGTGGTGAGGTTCTTATGGGAGGTTGTCTGAGAGTCTGTACACAGCTCCGTGGGTGGTCTGTGTGCACACGGGGGATGTGCAGCTGGATGAGGGACGGCGGCCTTCTCTGCAGAGCCGTCCATCACCACTGGGGCCGCAGACATGACTCTCATCATAAACCTTCCCCTGCCCTCTGCCTGGCTCTGCCTCCCCGCCCCAACCTCGATCACATGTCCACTCCCTCTGCTCCCCGTTCCCTTCCCCAGGCCACGGGCAACTGTGGCTAGAGCCTGCTATTCCAGCCCCTTGCCCCCCACTCCACTCAGCACCCATGGGTGGAATGTGTCCATAGATGGTTCTAGTTACTGGCGAGGGCACAGACTTCGTTGTCCCCTTCCTCTGCCAGGCATGCGATTATTATTTTGCATCTCTTGGAGGCAATGCTGGGGGGAGGGATGGGGCTGTGACCCAAATGGGATGGTCCTGGTGAGTAACCCTCTTCATCCCAGCCCTAGTGGCATCATCCCCACCCTAAAGGTCTGAAGCCTCCTCCCAGCAGAATCCCTCTCCAGCTCCTCCTTGCCATGAAGTATTCAGATCCACAGGACACCCCACCGAGGTGCCCTCTGCCATCAGGGAGCCTTGGTGTCCCTCTCCTCTGCCAGCAGCTCTGAGGCCTAGGGAATCTCATCTGCTGGTGCCAGGCACCCCAGGCCCAGGCCATCTGCTGCCTCTGTCTCCCTGCTGAGGCTGGCACCGGTCAGCAGGGTGCCCTCAGCTTTGCCAAGAACCAGCCTAGCCTCCGGGCCACTCCTCCCTGTCCTTAGCCATCTGGAGGGGCCTTCTGGTCTCCAGAGAAGGCAGGGTGACTCTAGGTTATTGTGAATGAAGAGAAGCCTAACACGCCCATTCTGGGGGAGCAAGGAGCCCTACTCTCTCATCTGTCCACCCACAGGACATCGCCAATGATCCCTTGCTGCCCGTGGCTTCCCATCCATTGCCCAGGGCTGTGGGGTGACAGGCATCTGTCCACTTTCCCTGAAACCTGGGTCCATCATGTCACACAGGCCTGCTTGCCCTGGCCTTGGCTCCTTGCCTCCCTCTTCCACTCCCTGCCCCGTCAGCCTTCCTGTGGTCCACTTCCCATCCCACCTGGTTTCACTCAAATGCTTTCTGCTTGTCCACCTCGTTTAGTTAAGTCTAAATTCTTTTGCTCAGCATTTAAGGGTGCCGCTCTAGCCCCAGCCCCTTCGCAGCTTAATATGCTACTTTGCAGGCTCTGCCCCAACCAAACTGGACTGTCCCCTTACCACACCCAGCACATGCCTGCCCCAGGCCCTCTGCCCATGCTCTTCCTCCCAGCCTCCAGCTGCTCATTTGTTTATGCCCAGCTCCAATGCCACCTCTTTCGGGAAGTTTCCCTCAGCTGGCACAACCAGATGCCATTTCTCTCACCCCGCAGCTCTGATTCATCTCTGCCAGCATCTCACGTGTTCTCATATCATGGTCATCTGCGTCTTTTCCTGCCTGTAACTCTCTGAGGACTGATACCGTGACTAGATTGCGTGACTTAGAAACATCTGGAATGGCTCTCCCCTCCCCCGCTAGCAGGCCTGGAGCCGGCTCAGGGCCATCCCCGGTCTCCATAGAGAGTGGGATGTACCAGGCATGGCTTCCTTCCTGTTCCTGGGAGGGTGGAGGGCCCAGGGCTGAATGCTGAGCGCCAAGGATCTCTAACCTACCCTGGCCCTACTCTCCCCTCCCAGCCCCCACATAACCATCTCTTCTCTTATTTCCATCAGCAGCCAAACTACTGGAGTTTCAAGGTCAGTGGTGGTGCTTCTGCTTCTGTGACAACTGCATGTGCTGTCCCGCCCTCACCCCTCCCTGCACATGCTTTGCACAGGGGTGTGCGTCTGCAGGGGACCATCTGGTGTGGGTGGTGGGCCTTGGGGCTGCAGGCTGGGGCTGCTGCTTTGAGAGAGCCTGGGTTCGCCTGCCAGGAGCTTGTGGAGCCAGTGTGACAGTTTGGGCCACCCCTACTGGGAATCTGGGTGGGGGATACTCAGGCTTACCCTGAGACACAAGGGCATTTGGGAACAAGAGAGGCATTTCCCCCTGCTTGGAAAGAGAGCTGGCTCAGAGGGAGGGACTTGGATCCCATGATCTTATTGAGGGCCTTGTTCTCTGAAATCAGACTTCATTTTCCAAATCTGGAGGAGGAAGGCCCCTCCAGACGGGAGGCCCCGTGACTACAATAGGTCCCTCATCCTTTTCTTACTTTCCACTATGGAGAGAGCTGGTCATGCCAGGCAAGAGACTCACAGCCCTGCACCCCCCCAAACCTGTTGCCCAAGTGGAGGACTGAGCTCAAGGATGGTGCTCTCCTGCCTCTTCTGGAGTGTTCGGACCATCCACAGCTGGATCCGTCTGTGCCCTCTAAGGACATCCTGCTGACCCCTGGGGAAGCACACTCTGGGACCTCCCCATCTTCTTTGGCACCAGAGTTAGAACTGAACCACGTTAGCCTGCTGCTTGCATCCTGGAGTCCCCAGTTCCTCAAATCCTGGGCATTATGACGGGGTGGGAGGCATACATTCCAGACTCCCCCAGTGCCATCTTGCTCCAAACATCTTGTTTGCATGCATCCTCCCAAAGAGAAGTTCTTGAATCAGAGAACCACAGAATTGTAGATTCGTGGTGTCAGGCATTATAGGCTTTTTGTAGGAAGCAGTAGCACATAGTGGTTCAATGCATGCAGCCAAGGGCCTAACTGCCGGGTGGTGAATTCCAGTCTGCTACTAACTAGCTGAGTGACCTGGGCAAGTTATATAAATTCCCTGAGCCTTGGCTTCTCTTCCATAAAATGGAGCAGTATCTATGTCATAGAGTTGATGTAAAGTGAAGGGACAAGAGACTGCATGTCCTAAATACAATGCCTGGCTCATGGGGAGCCTTACCTCGTTAGCTGTTAGCATCGTGGATGCTGACATGATTCTCCACTCAGAATCACCTTGGGAACCTGTCAAAAACCTTGAACCCCAGGCTCTCACCTCCAGAGATTCAGATTCAGTGAATGTGAGCCCTGGAGAGAGTATTTTTAAAAGCTCCCAAGTGATTCTGCCCCCATCTGTGGACAGCCTGTGGGAACCTCAGGTCCTAATCTGACCACCCCTACTCAAAGTTCCCTCTGTCTGATGTCTGACTAGGAGTCATTAGTTCCTCCCTGGAGCATCTCCGGGGACCAGTGCTCACTGCTTCCCATCTTTGGGAAGCCCTTTCCTATCTTCGCGGAGCTCTGTTTGAATTACTATTTTGTTCTCTTCCCATCTCCCTTGTAGTCAGGAAGTCCTTCTGGATGTCTCACTTTTTCTCTGCTCTATTGTCCCAGCTCAGGGCTGGAGAGAAGCACTATTGCGCTTTCTCTCTTCTCAAGAGGGTTTTCTACAAAGGCTGTGAGAATGGAATAAGAGCCCAGAAGACCAGGATGGAGACTGGAACTGGTGGGGCAGGGAATGTGGTGTGTCTTCTCCCAGGGTTCCCTGGGCAAGGGGCTGCCTTCTCAGTCCCTAGGATCCCTAGTCCCCTTCATCCTGGCTCCTGTTCTATCTTCTTATTGGCAACTCATTTGTGTCCCCCCCCAGGTGATGTGGCCACCCCCTACTCTTCATCCCCACTAGCTGCCTCATCTTGCCTGAATTCTGTAGCCCCTCATCCACACTAGCCTGGCAACCACTGACCTTCCAGTTGCCTGGCAACCTCATGACCACCAGACCAGGCCTGGTTCCCCACACTGTGAGGAAAGAGAGGGGCACAGGCCGGCCCTGGTGATCAGCCTAGAACTGAACTGCAGGCTCCGAAGTCTGGGCCCAGGCATCCCCCAAGTGGGCCCAGTTCCTCTGCAGCCTCCCTCCTCCCCAGACCCACACCCACCCGCTGATCAAAGCATTATGCTCAAAGCTGGATGCCCACCGATGTCCTTAAATCTGATCTGCAGCATCCTGAAGCTCTGAAGCCACTTTGGGGACAGCTGGGCACATTGCTCATCAGAAGAAGATGCTTTCTCTTTTGAGAGTGCTAATCCAATTGGAACATTAAATTGAGTTAATAGGAAGATGGAGATTAATTAGGGGTTAATCAGGATTTAGGGAAGGAGGGAGCTGAGGAGGAGAATAATTCCTTTTTAGAGATACTTTTACTGTTTGTTTGTTTTTTTAATTATAAAAATGAGGACTTCCCTGGTACTTCAGTGGTTGAGAATCCACCTTCCATTGCAGGGGACGCAGGTCTGATCCCTGATTGGGGAACTAAGATCCCACCTGCTGCAGGGCAAGTAAGCAGGAGTGCCACAACTACTGAGCCCAAGAGCTGTAACTAGAGAGCTCCAAGTGCTGCAATGAGAGATCCCTGATGCTGCAAAGACCCAACTCAGTCAAATAAATACATAAATATTTTTAAAAGACACTAGCATTATAAAAAACAAAAAATATAAAAATTATATATTCTGATTGTATAAAGTTCAAACAGCCAGGCAATGTATAAAGTAAAGAGAAAGGTGTGTTTCAGCCCCAAGATAACCAGTGTTAATGGTTTTGAATGATTTGTGGTTACTAAACTAGGTAATTTATTTTATAAAAAAAATACAACTGGGCAACATGATCTTTTTCTTGATAACATGTATATGTGATACATCTCATATATATATAATGTTGCATAACAGAATGATGTAGATCTGATTCATTATGTTTCACCCTTAAATAAATGAGTTTCTGACAGCAGCCAGGTTTGAGGGGAGAAGCTGGGGCAGACAGGAAGGAGCTGTGGCTGAATGAGAGTTCCAGCCCTTCAGCCAAAAGTAGGTTCTTGAAGTGCAATTGAAATCAGGGTGTCCCCTCTCCTAAAGAGACGGTAATCGAACTGTCCCTGGGGCAGGGGATGGTCATTGGGTGACACCCTTCCCTAGCCCCAAGCAGATATCGCCTTCGGCTGTAGCTTCAGGACAAGGGCTGCTGTGATGAACTGGAGGAGGCCTTTCTGGGCTGCTAGCCAGGCATGTTGGCCATGTGGCAGCATGTGCCATGCAGGGAGGGGCTAAGGCCTGGCACTTAGGCCATGTGCTTGTGTGGGCTGAGCATGTGCATTGCATGTACTAGGCAGGTAGTCTGTTTGAAACTGGCATCCAACTGGTTTGGGGGGTTTTGGGGTGGTTCTTCCAGTCACCCTAGGTCCAGGACATTGTGCCCAGTTCTGTAAGGGGCCATGCCTCCAAGAACTGGGATCTCGGGGTCCCTAGCTCTCTGCTTTCTTCCTGGACCCTGTTTCCCACCCCCACCCCAACCCTCTGAACTCAACGAAGGATAAATTCATCACTCACAAAACCGCCGCTTAATTAATGTCTGGAACTAATGCCCCAATTTGCTCAACGATTCTGCTGCTCACCTCGGTGACAAATTTGTGTTGTTGTTGTTCTTTGGAAGCTTAAAATAGCAGGCGTGCCCATGGCTCCCCGCTCAGATGGTTTCTTGTCTGGCTTCCCAGGGTGCCTGAGTCCTCTGCCCAGTCCTTACCTGCTGGGTGTCCTGGGGAGACCAAGGCCCCAAGAGGTTGGGGAACTCTCCTGCACAACAAGTCTGAAATCCAGGAGACCCTCCTCTGTGTGTGTGTGTGTGTGTGTCTCGCTGGCTGGCTGGGGCTCCCCAGGCCTGGATGGGGGAAGGGGGCAGAGCAAAGGGGCTGATGCCTGGTTCGTTTCCCCCCCGCCCCCCTCCCCCCCATCCCTGCAGACCCGCAGCTCACGCCACACTCAGGGAGCCCAGCCTGGGCTGGCAGACCAGGCGGCCAAGCTGTCGTACGCCTCGGCCGAGTCACTGGAGACCATGTCAGAGGCCGAGCTCCCCCTAGGCTTCAGTAGGATGAACCGCTTCCGACAGAGCCTGCCCCTCTCCCGCTCAGCCAGCCAGACCAAGCTGCGCTCACCAGGTACTGCCTATCTATCTTCCCTCCTGGCCACTGGCTCCTCCCTCTGGTCTGCTCGTCCCGGCATCCTCTCCCTCCCCTTGACCGCTTCATCTCTCAACCACCTTTCTAGGAAGACTCTGGCTCCCCTCCCCCATCCCATCTTCCCGCCCACCCCTCCGCCTCCAATCTCCTCCCCTCAGGGCCTCTCCCTCCTCACAGCCCTCTTAACCGGCTTCTCCCTCTCTTCCCTCACTTCTCTCTCCCTCCGCACCCCCTTCCCTGTCCCTCTCTCCCTTTCTAAGCCTCCCCTTTCCCACCCCCTTCAGCAGCCCCCCTTTCCTTCATTCCCCGCTTCCCTCATCTCTCCCGCTCACTCTCAGTTTCTGCCCCAACTGTTCCGGCCCGCAATTCCATTTCCTCGTCCGGACTCCAACCTGCCTGGGGTCGGGGAGGTGCCTTGAGAGGCCGGCAGCATGAGGAGTGCCTGGGTGCACCTGCACTCCGGGGCGGCGTCCGGCCTCAGACCCTGCCTCTGCGGGACCAGCGCGACTCCCGAAGGCTCCCCGAGCCGCCGGCGTGGTGGCGGTGGCGGCCCCGACACCAAGGGTGGCGTCTCCTTTGCAGGGGTGCTGTTCCTGCAGTTCGGGGAGGAGACTCGGCGCGTGCACATCACGCACGAGGTTAGCAGCCTGGACACGCTGCACGCACTCATCGCGCACATGTTCCCGCAGAAGCTCACCATGGGCATGCTGAAGTCGCCCAACACAGCCATCCTTATCAAAGATGAGGCTCGCAACGTCTTCTACGAGCTGGAGGACGTCCGGTGGGCGTGGCCCCGGGGGGAATGGGGTGGGCTCCCCGATAGTCCTCCTCCGAGGGGGGCTCGAAACCACAGGTCATTCCCCAGCCGCCTCCTCACCTAGCCTCAGCCCTTTTCCCCTGTCCTCTCGGAGCCCTACCCCGCCGCCCCCTTCTTCGGTCATCTCGGCCCCACCGCCTCCCCTTTAATTCATCCACCCCTGCTGGTTGGCCTTGGCTTGAGCCGAACTGAAAATAGTTCGTGAGGCCGAGGTAAACGGGTAGAAGATGCTGGTTGTGTGTTGGTGGCAGGCAGCCTGAGATCCACTGAGCAAGGAGTTAAGGGGTTGGACCTCGCGGCCCCTCTTGCCACCCCTCTCCCCTTTGCCTGAAGGTGCCCCTCTCATCGCAGGGCTGGGGGATGGTGACCCCCTGCACCCCTTCCTCCCCCCAGGGACATCCAGGATCGCAGTATTATCAAGATCTATAGGAAAGAGCCACTCTACGCCGCTTTCCCTGGCTCACACCTCACCAACGGGGACCTTCGGGTATGGCTGGGGAGGCCCAGGGCATGGGGGAGTTTGGGCAGATGGGTCCAGGAGCAGAGTCTAGCCACTTGTCACCAGGGACCAGGGCCAGCTTTGGAGAAGGGAACGTGGAGGCTTAAGCAGAGGATGGCCTTCGTTAATTGTGGAGTCCTGGAGGTGTCCCTCGCCTCATCTGCTACTTTTCCCTCTGGTCAGATCAGGATTTCTCAAACCTGCCTCTAAATATCCTAGGAGACCGCTCTCAGGAACCGCCCCTTCCTTCTTGGCTTTCCATCCCCCACCATGGGGTGGGCTGGAGGTTTCTCCCCTCTCTGGTGCCTGGCCCTCTGCCACTTCTTCCTCCGTCCTGGGAGCCCTGACGGGAAAGGGGTCGAAGATGCAGCAGGAGGGTGGGGAGGCAGAGAACAGAAAGGCCTTCCTCAGCGTCACGGGGTGGGGGGAGCTGCTGGCTCCTTAAGCAGGAGGCAAGGGATCCCCTTTGTGACCGGTTTGTGGGGTTCTGGGATTGTCTTCTGCACAGAGAGAGATGGTTTATGCGTCGCGGGAGTCGTCGCCCACGCGGCGCCTCAACAACCTGTCGCCAGCGCCACACCTGGCCTCAGGCTCTCCGCCGCCGGGGCTGCCTTCGGGCTCGCCGTCGCGCTCGCGCCTCTCATACGCCGGGGGGCGCCCGCCCTCCTACGCCGGCAGCCCGGTGCACCACGCGGCTGAGCGGCTGGGAGGCGCCCCAGCCGCCCCGGGCGTTAGCCCGAGCCCCAGCGCCATCCTGGAGCGGCGCGATGTGAAGCCGGACGAGGACCTGGCGGGCAAGGCGGGCGGCATGGTGCTGGTGAAGGGCGAGGGCCTCTACGCCGACCCCTACGGGCTGCTCCACGAGGGCCGCCTGAGCCTGGCGGCGGCCGCCGGCGACCCGTTTGCCTACCCGGGCGCCGGTGGCCTGTATAAGCGCGGCTCGGTGCGCTCGCTCAGCACCTACTCGGCCGCCGCGCTGCAGTCCGACCTGGAGGACTCGCTGTACAAGGCGGCGGGCGGCGGCCCGCTCTACGGCGACGGCTACGGCTTCCGCCTGCCGCCCTCGTCGCCGCAGAAGCTGGCCGACGTGACCGCGCCCCCGGGCGGGCCCCCGCCGCCGCACAGCCCCTACTCGGGGCCGCCCAGCCGCGGCTCGCCGGTGCGCCAGTCCTTCCGCAAAGACTCGGGCTCCTCGTCGGTCTTCGCCGAGAGCCCCGGTGGCAAGACCCGCAGCACCGGGGGCTCCTCGACGGCCGGAGCGCCCCCTTCCGAGCTCTTCCCCGGGCCTGGGGAGCGCCCGCTCGTTGGATTCGGGCCCCCTGTGCCAGCCAAGGACACGGAAACCAGGTGAGGGAGCTGGCGAGGCTCGGGGATGTGCGGGTGCGGTGGGTTAGAGGGGACGCGGCAGAGTCCGTGGCAGGCTGTGTCCTGGACTCTGAGACCCGGGAGTCCTTCTAGACCCGGAGTATCCTTGAGGGGTCACCAGGGTTATCTTGGCCGCGGCAGGGCAGGCACTGGACAGACATTTCATCTGCAAGCCCCAAGGGATGGATGAGAGGGCCCCAGACAAGGGGCCTGGAGATCTGGGTTTGCAGCTGGTCCCTGAGCTTTAGTTTCCTCAACTAGATTTGAGGCTGAGACAGAACTCTTTATTTAATGCGTTTCCTGCTCGGGCACAAAACGTGCCGCCATGAGAGCTGTCCAGCACAAGGCTGGCTGAAATCCACTGGGAAGGGGGTGATTGTAAGAAGTGGGGATGAAAAGAGGTACATTTCTTTAAGTAGCCTCCGAGTTGGGGAACTCGTGCCTATCACCCAGCTCCTTGTTAAGGGTGCAAGGCTGGAGGAGGTAATCATGGCACCTGCCCTCCTCTGCCCTCAAGCAGCACTGCTGAGAGGTGAGGAGAAATGATTCATTCACATAGCTTTCTTGTGGCCTGTGTGCCAGGCACTGCAATGGGCACTGTTTATGCCAAGTTGGACAAACCCAGCTCCTGCCCTGTCTAGTGGGGGAGACACAGTTAAAAACAAACAAACAAACTTGTTCTTCCCTTGGGAGGGTGTATTCCTCAAGGCAGCTGGGGACTCTGGGATGGCTTCAGAAAAGAGGTAGGGAGAAGGGCGTGCCTAGCAGGGGGAATATATGTGCAGAGGTCTAGAGGGGGCCTGGGTGAGACCCATTAGGGAGCTAGTGATGAGAGATGAGTTTGGAGAGGGAGGGGGTGACTGTCAAATGCTGCTGCTCCTGCTAAGTCGCTTCAGTCGTGTCCGACTCTGTGTGACCCCATAGATGGCAGCCCACCAGGCTCCTCCGTCCCTGGGATTCTCCAGGCAAGAACATTAGAGTGGGTTGCCATTTCCTTCTCCAGACTGTCAAATGGGGAAGGGCATTTCCAGTGTTAGGTGTGTGGGAGGGCTGTGGACTTGATCCTTAGGTGTTGAGACCCTTTGAATTGTCTTTGTGCTGGTGGCTGAGAAGGAAATGGTTTTCCTCTAATTATCAATCTTAGGATAGGGGGGCTGGGCAGGAGGGACCCCATGACCAGAGATGGGGTTGATCAAGGCCACTGTCTTCCCTAGGGAGCGCATGGAGGCCATGGAGAAGCAAATTGCCAGCCTCACAGGCCTGGTGCAGAGTGCCCTACTGAGAGGTTCGGAGCCTGAGACCCCCAGGTGAGGTTCTTTTCCCAACACCACTGCCAAAGGCCTGTGGTTGGGGCAAGAGGAGGGGAAAGTAAGCAGCAAGAGGCCTGGGCTCAGCTCTGCCCATGTCTCATCATGGTGCCCTGGGTGAATCCCTTCCCTTCTCGGACACTCCATCCTGAGACAAGGAGACTGGAAGAGTTTACGTTAAAGTCTCACCCAGCTTTGACAGTCTGGGGCCAGCCTGGACCCCGTGATGGCTATCTTTTCCCTGTACCACAGTGAGAAGATTGAAGGCTCCAATGGAGCAGCCACCCCCTCAGCACGTGAGTGACCCTTTCTTCCTCCCCCAGAGGTCCTTGCCCTGTCTTAGCCTCTCTGGTCTTTTCCTAGTCTGTAAAGGGGCTACATCACCAGGCTTCAATGGGTAAATGAGTAGTCACCTTAGCCTGAGATGTCTCCCCTCAGAAAGGCTGACCACTGGTTGGGGCAGGGAGCCAGAGCTACGCTTCTCCCTGGCTACTGTGTGGGGCCACGAGTGGGGAAGATCTTACCCTGATCTCTCCCAGCTCACGATTCATTCCCTTTCTCCCATCTTTGTGGTCCCTGTCTGCAGCCTGTGGGTCAGGCAGCCGGAGCAGCGGGGCCACCCCAGTGTCCGGCCCTCCCCCACCTCCGGCCAGCAGCACCCCTGCGGGGCAGCCCACTGCCATCAACCGTTTGCAGATGCAGCTGCACCTGCGTGGCCTGCAAAACAGCACGAATGACCTGCGCAGCCAGCTTCAGCAATTGCGAAAGCTCCAGGTACCACCACCTCTCCGGGGCCCCGCCCCCTCAAACCGCGCCCTACCAGAACCCACCTACTTGCCGAAACTCCTTCCCAAGAGTCTGCCCCATCCCGAGTCCCTCGCCATTTACTGGGCTGCTCTCCGAACCCCTCCTCGAATTCCCGTCACCTCGCTGAATCTCTAGTCCCTCACCAAGCCACCACCCCTGGCCCGTGTCCCCCTGTGGGCCCTCTTTCCCTTTCCCTGAATCCTTCCCGCCTTCTGGGAGACCCAGCCTACCCCACTGAGCCCCCTCCTCCTGTCAGCATCCCTCAGGGTAGTCCCAGTCCCTTCCCTCTCTCATCCCCTCCCTTGGGCGGAAGCCTTTCCCCCAGATCCCCTCAGCGTTACCTTCCTGAGCCCACACAGCCTTCCCCAGCCTGCCCTGCTTGGCAGATGGTCCTACCAGTCAGGAGCCTGGCATCCCTGTGCCCGCTCCTCGAGAGTGCCCCGGGGCCCATCAGGTGAGAATAATGAGTAGAGACAGGCTGGAGAGGGGGCAGAGAGTTGCCATCTGGGCAATGGGTAAGATCTCGGCTCCCCCCACCATTGCCTCCACTCGGCCTTAGAGCTAGGTTCAAGTGTTAGTTATGTTCCGGTCCCAGCCAAGGAAACTGTCAAACCACAGTGCTTGAGTCCTTCATCGAAGCCACAGCCATGCAGCCCCAAGGTGGGCAGGGTCCTGGTAGGGTCATCTCTTGCCCCCAAATATCCCCTACCCCGTTCTCCAGCCTCTAAGATATTTCCCCAGAAAGAAACCTTGTCCTCCTCCCCCGACCCCTTCGCTGCAGCTAACTGCCACAGCCAAGCAGCCGCACCTTCCGCACGGCCCAACTTGGCACTCCTGCCTCCCTCCACCATCCCCAAGCCATTCTCCTCTTGCCTCTACGCTTCCCCAGAAAGTAACCCTCGGCCTGTGCCCCACCCCCACCCCACCCTTTCGCTGCTGCTCAAGGCCACAGCCGAGCAGCAGTATCGTCTGTGGAGTTCGTCCCGCGGTCGGCCTGTCCTCTGCCCGCCTCCTCCCAGTCCTCTCCCCGCAGCGCGCCTCCATTCCCTCCCACCCCCGTCCACCGGCCCTTCTGCGTCCCGCAGCTACAGAACCTGGAGTCGCTGCGCGCGCTGCTGAAGGGCACGGAGGCGGAGCTGAGCATGCGCGTGTCGGAGGCGGCGCGGCGGCAGGAGGACCCGCTGCAGCGGCAGCGCACCCTAGTGGAGGAGGAGCGGCTGCGCTACCTCAACGACGAGGAGCTCATTACCCAGCAGCTCAAGTGAGGCTGGGCGCAGCGGCTGCGGGGAGGGCTGGGAGTGCGGCCTCGGTGGCCCGCAACCTGGTATTACGGGGAGGCGCAACTCCCCTCTTTCTGACTCCCAGGTGACGTGGGTCTGTTCCGAAGCCTGATTTTCGTCTCCTCTGTGGTCTGATGTCTCTGTGACCCACAAACCTTTGACCATCTGGCAGGAGTCCTATTTTCTTTTGTTCTGGCTTGATGCCTGCTTTTGCTGTGGTCTCACTCCCGTCCGGCTTCCCCGTGGCCTGCAGCCTTACTCTCATGTTTCCAGATGCCCGGTTTCATTCTGTCCTCTGCCTGCTTTCGTTCTGGCCTGTGATCCTTGCATACTGATCCTCGAGTAGAGTTGCGGTGGGCCAGCTTGGTCACTGTTGCCACCCTCACCACCATCTCTTAGACCCGATATAGCCAAGGAGAACGCTCCTCTCATCCTACTGCCGCTGAAACAGGGCTCCGGGAATAGAGAACACCCCGCCCCCAAAGACTTAGACATGGAAGGGTTAACAGAGACAGTTCTCTGATCCAAATTTAGTAAATAGCTGTCTGGCCAAGATTCGATTGTCTGGCACCATTGCAAGGAGAGGCTGCCTTCCGCTGTCCGTCCACTGAGTGAGCAGCCCCAGCCGCCTGCAGCTTTCCCTGGTCAGTCCCTGAGTCTGAGACAGAGACCCTGCTCCTCCGCCTGGTCTCCCTCTTGGCACAGGGCAGGGGGGCCTGAGCTCCAGCTCCAGCTCTGAGCAGCTGGGTGATCAGAGCAGTTTCTGCCCATCCCTGTGCTTCAGCTTCGACACCTGTGCCCAAGGTTAAGCTTTTCACAGTTCTTTCCAGAAGGGGCTTTGGCTTCTACGGGTCAACTACTCAGAACTAAGGAAGACTGCTCAGAGGAGCCCAGCTTCCTCACCAAAGTCATAATTGGCTGTATCACTTGCAAGGGGCTCCTTGAGAAGGATCCCTGCTCCTCAGCCTCGGGCCCACACAGCCTGTAGATCCATGTGCATTTCAGTAACGCACAGGGCAAGATTCCCATGACCCCTTGTGGTTGAGATGAAGTAAGGGGCCATCCCACTTGGAAATAAGCTGGCGTGGCAGTCAACTGCATCACCCCTGGTGTGAAAGCTGAGTGACAGCTCCCGTCAGATCTCCAAGTAGACGGATGGCTACCATCCCCCCTCACCCAGGGAATTCCATTTACCTGACTTTCCTGTCCTCTTTTCCCCCTTTTTTATTCAGCACAGAGGAACTGGATTGGAATTTTCAAAGGGAACTTTACTGAGACATTAAAGGAAAATAAAAGGAAATATAAAAGTACAGAGGAGGCAGGAAGGATGAAAGAACGTATTTATGCTCCTGTCATATGAGTGTCTGGTCCTCAGTCTCCTGGGGCCTCAGTTCTCCAGGAATACCAGTCTCTCTATGTGTTGCCCTGCTATCAAACCCATTGCTCTGACTGCTCACTTTAGAGAGCTTGGGGGCTGATACATTGCTTCTGGCTGGGTTCTCCATCTACTTCGAAGGTGACTTTTTGGGTGGAATCTGGACTGGGCTGCACATCAGTGCTGCAGTGGCTTTGGTCTGACCAGGAGGGGCCTCCCTGCCTGGTTTCCATAGCCTCCCCGGGATTGGATGGCCCTGCTGGCCCATCCATACCCCTGCTCTAGCTTACCAGCCTCTGTCTGCTTCCTTGGCTTCACTCTTCCCCTTCCTTTTGCCCTGGCATCTTGCTGGAAGTCACAGCTGATTCTGTGCTTCACTCAGCTTGGCTTACTCACCTTAGCTCTAGCCAAGCACATTGTTTAGATGTTGCCCTTAGAGGCAGGCTCCGCTGACTGAGACCTTTGACCTCCAGAGTGTAACGCAGCCCAGCCCAGCACCAGCTTCACAGGCTGTGACCTGTTACTCACACAGGGCCTCATGCTTGTGCGGGCCCGTCCTTGGCTCAATGCTCTGCTGTCATTATCTTGAAATTCTTAATTTTTATACTAGGGGAAAAAAAAATCTTCATTCTGCTTTGCGCCACCTCACATTTTGTGGTTCTGCCCTGATCCTCACCTCTCAACTGTTTCAGAACTAAACCTGGGTCTGGGAAACCCCACCACTTTCTGACCCCAATGTCTAGACTTGCGCTGGTTTGGACTTTCTTGCAGAGCCTGCTCAGGTTATCGGTCCCCAAACTTTGGCAGATTGCACAGTCAGAGGACTGAGGTGCTCATTGAGCCTGGGGGGGGGGGGGCGGCTAGTGGCTTTCCTGCATGCCGTCATCCAGGGGCCCAGGGTAAGGGAAATAAGTGTCTTCCAATAAGGCACGTCTTCGATATGTGCCTTCCAAGATTACCCTCAGGGTCACTGTCTTTCAGCCAACAGGATGGGGAAATGAGTGTGGAGGAGCTTACATAGGAGGACTTTAGAGAGCCAGACCTGGAAACAACATGTACCACTACCACTCATGTTCCACTGGCTAGACCTTATTTGAATGACACTTCTACATGCAAAGGAGGCTGGGGAATGTAGTTTAGTATCCGAGCTGCTTGTTGTTGTTTAGTTGCTAAGTTGTGTCTGATTCTTTGTGACCCCATGTGCAGCACATCAGGTTTCTCTGTCTTTCACTATCTCCCGGAGTTTGCTCAAACTCATGTCCATTGAGTTGGTGATGCCATCCAACCATCTCATCCTCTGTTGTCCCCTTCTCCTCCTGCCCTCAATCTTTCCCAGCATCAGGACCTCTTCCATTGAGTAGGCTCTTTGCATCAGGTGGCTAAATGATTGGAGCTTCAGCTTCAGCATCAGTCCTTCCAGTGAATATTCAGGATTGATTTCCTTTAGGATTGACTGGTTGGATCTCCTTGCAGTCTAAAGGACTCTCAAGAGTCTTCTCCAACACCACAGTTCAAAAGCATCAATTCTTCCATGCTCAGCCTTCTTTATGGTCCAACTCTCACATCCATATGTGACTACTGGAAAAACCATAGCTTTGACTATACGGACCTTTGTTGGCAAAGTAATGTCTCTGTTTTTAAATATGCTGTCTAGGTTTGTCATAGCTTTTCTTCCAAGGAGCAAGCATCTTTTAATTTTGTGGCTGCAGTCACCATCCGCAGTGATTTTGGAGCCAAGAAAATAAAGTCTGTCACTGTTTCCACTTTTTCTCCATCTATTTGCCATGAAGTGATGGGACCAGGTGCCATGATCTTAGTTTTTTGAATGTTGAGTTTTAAGCCAGCTTTTTCATTCTCTATCTAGGGATTCCCTGATAGCTCAGCTGGTAAAGAATTCGCCTTCAATGTGGAAAGCCTGGATTTGGTCCCTGGGTTGGGAAGATACTCTGGAGAAAGGAAAGGCTACCCACTCCAGTATTCTGCCCTGAAGAATTCTATGGAATGCATAATCCATGGGGTTGCAGAGAGTCTAACATGACTGAGTGACTTTCATTTTTCACTGTCTTCTTTTACCCTCATCAAGAGGCTCTTCACTTTCTACCATTAATGTGGTATCATCTGCATATCTGAGGTTGTTGTTATTTCTCTCAGAAATCTTGATTCCAGCTTGTGATTCACCCAGCCCAGCATTTTACATGATATATACTCTGTAAGTTAAATAAGTGGGGTGACAATATACAGCCTTGACATACTCCTTTCCCAATTTTGAACCAGTCCATTGTTCCATGTCTAGTTCTAACTGTTGCTTCTTGGCCTGCATACATGTTTCTCAGGAGACAGGTAAGGTAGTCTGATATTCCCATCTCTTTAAGAATTTTCTTCAGTTTGTTGTGATTCACACAATCAAAGGCTTTAGTGTAGTTAATGAAGCAGAAGTAGATTTTTTTTTTTTAATTCCCTTGCTTTTTCTATGATGCAGTGGATGTTGGCAGTTTGATCTCTGGTTCCTCTACCTTTTACCTGGAAGTTCTCAGTTCATGTACTGTTGAAGTCTAGCATGAAGGATTTTGAGCATAACTTTGCTAGCATGTGAAATGAGCTTAATCATACAGCAGTTTGAACATTCTTTGGCATTGTCTTTCTCTGGAATTAGAATGAAAACTGACCTTTCCCAGTCCTGTGGCCATTGCTGAGTTTTCCAAATTTGCTGGCATATTGAGTGCAGCACTTTAACAGCATCATCTTTTAGAATTTGAAATAGCTCAGCTGGAGCTATTTGTTCCACTAGCTTTGTTCATAGTAATGCTTCCTAAGACCCACTTGACTTTGCACTCCAGGGTGTCTGGCTCTAGGTGAGTGACCACACCATGATGGTTATCTGGGTCATTAAACCTTTTATGTATAATTCTTCTGTGTATTCTTGCCACCTCTTGTTAATCTCTTTTACTTCTGTTAGGTCTTTGCTGTATCTGTCTTTTATTGTGTCCATCTTTGCATGATTCCATTGGTATTTCGTTTGGTATCTCCAGTTTTCTTGAAGAGATCTCTAGTCTTGCCCATTCTATTGTTTTCCTCTATTTCTTACTCTGAGCTACTATTTGTATGTAAACTGGAGATAATAATGGTTCCCACTCCCAGGATTTGTTGGGAGGATAAAGTGAGGGGCTGAATGTGCACCTGGCACGCTGTAGGCACTTAGTACAAGATACCTCTTTAACTGGTAGTGCTGACTCACAGAATTTTGGCCTTGGCTCCAGTGTGGTCTGTTTTTTCGCCCACTAGTTGGATGAAGATATATAAAGCATGCTGATAAGTTTTGCTGATGACACAGAGCTTTGAGGGGGAGCAAATCTGTTGGATGGTAGAACTGAGATTCAAAAGTTGTTCCTCCCTGGATTGTTGAGCTGAAATCCAACAGATGGGATTTGACAGGAATATATGTGACGTCCTACATGTGGGTCAGGGATATCAGTGACTCAGGTGCAGAACTGGGATGACCTACCTGGGCAGTAGCGCCTTCTTTCACTTATTCATTCCTTCCATAATTACTTACCAGACCTCTGTTCTGCTCCAGGCACCATGCCAGGTGCTGGGAATGAGAGATGAATCAGAAAGACAGGGTATCTTATTTTCTCCCTAGAGCTGCTTAGCCCAGCAAACAGGAGCTCCAGGCAGGAAGCAGACCCCGAACACCAAGTGTAAGGGGAGAGTTTCCCACTGGGACCTGGGGATGAGTGGGAGTTAGTTACACATGTGCGTGGGGGGTGGGGAGGTGGTGGTAATGGAATGTTCTGGGCAGAGGAAATGGCATTATAGAAGCCCAGGGAGAAGGACTTTCCTGGTGGTCCAGTGGATAAGGTCCACGCTCCCAATGCAGGGCTCCTGGGTTTGATCCTTGGTCAAGGCAACTAAGCCTGCGTGCCGCAGTGGAGACCTAGTGTGGCAAACAAGAACAACCAACAGGGAGAGCAGCACATACAAGGACCTCAGAGAAATTCTGGATGGTTTGAAACAGAAGCAAACCAGATGGAGAGGAAGTGGATGTGGCTAGAGAGGAACTAAGAGCAGCCCCCAGGGACTGACCCCATGCATTAGCTCACTTAATTGCTTTTCAGCTCATTTAATCCTCATAGTGGCCCCAGGAGGGAGGAACTCTTACCATCCGCATTTTCTGGGGATAAGGAAACTGAGATCTGGAGACAGTTGGTAACTTCTCCAAGATCTCTTCTGGGTCAGGCAGAGTGCGGGTTGGAATGTGAATCTGTCTGACTCCAGACCCAGGTTTTCAGCTACTACCCTCATGCCTTTTGTGGCTGCACTTGAAGAGTTTGGATTTTAGCCTCAGAATGTCGGGATCCATTTCGGGTTCAACACAGGCGGTGGTTACTTGGTCTGATTTACATTTCAGAAAGATGTAGGGTGTTAATATGACACAAGCTCAGCATAAGCCATCTGAAAATAGGAAGCAGCTTTGTCATTGAGGAAAGAGGCTGAGTGTCTGGATCATTTGAGAAAAGGTGGACTTCCCCAAAGAAAGAAGAGGCTCTTAGGGGCACACACACCTGCCTCCAGTTCTTTGAAAAGCTGCCAATTTCTCTGCTGTGTCCTTGGCTAATGAGAATCAGAAGGTGTGAGTCCTAGGGAGGGAGATTCTGGCTGATACTGCTAAAGATGAGAACTTCAACACGGGGACCTGGGGCACCTGTTATGGAGTGCTTCTGAAGTCTCATCTCTGAGGTCTGACTTTCTGATTTCACTTGGGCTTGTGGCCTGGTGGATGGCTTTTAATTTTGATCTGACCAGTGACCTGATTTGTTCCCAGCTGTTCAGTTTCAGGGGGCTGGGCTGGGGCCAGAGGGGCTGAAAGGGTCTTTCTGTGACTGCAGTGACCTGGAGAAGTCGGTGGAGAAGATCCAGAGGGATGTGTCCCACAACCACCGACTGGTGCCCGGGCCTGAGCTGGAAGAGAAGGCGCTGGTGCTGAAGCAGCTTGGGGAGACGCTGACCGAACTCAAGGGTGAGCCTCGGGGCATCCCCCAGCCCCACCCAAGGCATTGCACCCCCACCCCACTGCCTGTCCTCCCCGCTGTCCAGAGCTGCTCCCTCCTCCCGCTCACTCCTTCCCTTCGCCTCAGCTCACTTCCCAGGCCTGCAGAGCAAGATGCGGGTAGTGCTGCGTGTGGAGGTGGAGGCGGTGAAGTTCCTGAAGGAGGAGCCCCAGCGCCTGGATGGGCTACTCAAGCGGTGCCGGGGGGTCACGGACACCCTGGCCCAGATCCGAAGGTCATTCTATCCCTGACCTCCTATCTCTGACCTGCGATTTCCCATGGGGTCACACACCGGGCCCAGATCCCTTATTCTGACTCCCTGCAGAGGTCAGCGGTGTGCTGACTGGCTGTGACCCAGCACTTTGACCTGTGACCCCTTGCATGTTGCAGGCTTGGCGCTCCCATTTCCCAGATGCAGTCACCCCTCCCCAGGCCCTTCCATCTGTCCTGCAAGATCCCAGAGCCCCCCTCACACCCCGCCTCCCCCAAGCTAGGCTTCCCTCCCAGGGAGCCACGACTCTGCTGACCTCACAGCTGCCCCCAACTCTCCCACCGCAGGCAAGTGGACGAGGGTGTGTGGCCACCCCCCAGCAACCTCCTGAGTCAGTCCCCCAAGAAGATGACGGCCGAGACGGACTTCAACAAGAGCTTAGACTTTGAAATGCCACCCCCTAGCCCTCCGCTGAACCTCCACGAGCTGAGTGGGCCAACCGAGGGGGCCCCTCCAGCCCCCAAGGCGGGCAACCCCACCAAAGGCCTGGACGCTCCTGGCAAGAGAAGCGTGGACAAGGCTGTGTCTGTTGAGGTGCTGGGCCCGGGATGGGGGGGCCGGAGCTAGGGTCGCACATTCTCACCACCGACCTATGTTGGCCAGTGCCGACACGTGGGGACTTGTTCCTGGGGGACAAGGGAATCTGAGAAGCGCACTGAGGGTGACATCAGTCCTGCTAGGCAGGAAAGCATATCATAAACCTGTGATAATCAAGGCAGTGTGGGGTTAGCACAAGAAAAGATTATGTGCTCAATGAAATAGAATAGAATGCCTAAAAGCAGGTCTAAATTTCTCCTGAGAGTACTTGGTTATGAAGGTGGCATTCCAGGCTCGTAGCAAAGGCGTGTAATACTCAAGAGAAGCCCGAGGCTCGGATCAAATGGGAGGCTTCCTTTGCATTCCTTGCATGTGTGGCTGAGGCCCCAGAAGTCCCGGAGCAGGGCAGCTGCTTCAGTGCTGACTGTTGGCTCTCCTCTCAAGGCTGCCGAGCGGGACTGGGAGGAGAAGCGGGCAGCCCTGACCCAGTACAGCGCCAAGGACATCAACCGGCTGCTGGAGGAGACACAGGCGGAGCTGCTGAAGGCCATCCCTGACCTAGACTGTGCGGGCAAGGCCCACCCGGGCCCAGCCCCCGCCCCGGACCACAAGCCCCCCAAGACCCCCCACGGCCAGAAGGCAGCCCCCCGAACGGAGCCCAGTGGGAGGAGAGGTTCAGGTATGGGGCAGGTAGGGGGTTGCAAAGAGCCCAGAGGAGGGGAGCCCCAGCCTCAGGAACTCTCAGGTTGATGAGGGAGGTGCTTGGGAGTGAAAATCTTTGTGGGTGGGCTATTAGAGAAGGTGGGGTGCTGGCCTGACCCTTGGCCACTCAGGGGAGACCGAGACAGATGGGATAGTCCTGGACTGCATCCAGGGATTTTCCCACGGCTGCTGAGAGGACCACGCTGGGAGGATGAGAAAGCTCAGACAGAGGGTTGTCCTCCTGCACGTTTTGTCCAAGCTTGTGTGCCAGGAGCCAGGCTGTGCTGAGATGGGGTGCAGCACTGAGTGATGCAGACATGGGTCCTGTGCTCCCCAAGCCTGTGAGCTCACAGGGGAAGCAGAAACCCGAATAGGAAATGGCAGTTGTCACTCATTCATTTATTCATCCTTGCCACCTGTATATTTGTTAAGTGCCCACTATGTGCTAGGGCTTTCCAGGTGGCGCTAGTGGTAAAGAACCCTCCTGCCAATGCAGAAGACATAAGAGATGCAGGTTCAACCCCTGGGTCAAGAAGATCCCCTGGAGAAGGGCATGGCCACCTACTCCAGTATTCTTACCTAGAGAATCCCATGGATAGAGGAGCTTGGCGGGCTACAGTCCATAGGGTTGCGCAGAGCCAGACACGATTGAAGTGACTTAGTATGCATGCACACGTGTGCTAGGTGCTGGGGATAAGGATATGACTACTTTTGAGGAGCTTAAAGTGTAGTAGGAGAATAATACTAACATCTGTGTTTATCAGGCACTTACTGTGCAGCAAAAAACAACCCCAAATGCTTTCTGTATATTAATTCATATAATTTTGCAACAAGTCCAGGAGGTGGATACAATAATTATTCCCATTTTACAGGTGAGGACACTAAGGCTCAATGTGGTTAAGTAATCTGTCCCAGGCCTTACCCAGTATGTAAACCAGAAATAGGAGGCAGGTGCTAAATGGTGTTCTACAGGAGACCCTGAGAGGGCAGGAAGTCCTTCTCATGGGAGGCGACTTTTCACTGGAGTCTTGCATTTCTCTGGCCAGTGAGAGAGGGCATTCCAGGGAGAAACATCATATACCAATGCCTGGAGATATGTGTTTGGTGTTGCCCAGCTGGGTCCAGGCCCGAGAGTAGCAAGCAGAGCTGAACCTGAAAGGTTGGCAGGCACAGAGGTTTGGGGTTGTGGGGACTCACTGGGGGATCAAAGGGCGAGGAATGTCAGGCTTGAGTGACTTTTCTGCAGGTTTCCCAGGAAATAGCCCCCACCCCAAGGAAGAACTGGGGCAGGGAGAGCCTGGTGGGCAGGGTCAGACTCTTGCAATAGTACTAACTACTCTCTCTTGATGGAGGAAGGATGAAGATCTGTGCCAGGGCAGAGCTGAGGGGTGGGCGGGAAAGTGGTGGATTAGAGTAGCAATTCTCAAACTTGAATGTGCACGTGAAATCACCCAGGATCTGCTGGCACGTGGATTCTGACTCAGCAGCTCAGGGTGGGGCCTGAGCTTCTGCATTTCCAACAAGCTCCCAGGTGCTGCCAGTGTTGTTGTTCCCCAGACCAGGCTTTGAGTAGAAGGGATGAGAGTGCTGTAAGCGAAGGAGTGACAGGGCTTGGGGCTGGACTGCATTGGGGGGGAGGAGAGGAGGAGGAGGGGGCCTGTGTCCTTTCCTCGAGATTGCCCCTCTCCTCCTCCCTGGAGGAGGAAGCCAGGTTTACCCTAACCTTGGAGTCAGATGTGGCGCACAGACTCCAGGGTTATGGGTCCTCTGACCCCCAGCCCCTTGGCTGCCCACAGATGAGCTGACAGTGCCCCGATACCGCACCGAGAAGCCCTCCAAGTCACCCCCGCCACCCCCTCCCCGCCGGAGCTTCCCCTCCTCCCATGGCCTGACCACCACGCGCACCGGTGAGGTCGTGGTCACCAGCAAGAAGGACTCGGCCTTCATCAAGGTACCACCCCCCACCTTGGGTAGGGGACAGGTACGGGGGGTTGAGTGGGAGGGATGCCTGAGAGGACCTCTGGAGACCCTCTGGAGTGATCCCCTAGCTCAGAGGAAGTGGAAGGAAAGAAAGGAGGCTGGCCAGTGGTGACTCTGCCTCTGGCTCGTGCTTCCTCCATGGGAAGGGGCCTGGCAGATGTGGAGCTGGGTGGGCAGGTGGGAGATAGTCTGGAAGGGATAGGACCTAAGAGGTGAGCTGGCTGGAGGCAGACAGAGCCTGGTCTAATGAGGCCTGGGCCTTGCAGAAGGCTGAGTCCGAGGAGCTGGAGGTGCAGAAGCCTCAGGTGAAGCTGCGCCGGACTGTGTCCGAGGTGGCCCGCCCGGCCTCCACACCCCCAATCATGGCCTCTGCCATCAAGGATGAGGACGATGAGGACCGCATCATCGCAGAGCTGGAGGTGGGTCAGGGGTCCCCAGGTCATCAGCCAGGCACCCCCCTTTCCCCACCATGTGGATCTCAGGGTGGGATGCCCTGGCTAGGATGAGGGGCTGGATTCCTGGCTCCCCGCTGAGGCTGGTTCCGGATTCTGTCCTTTTTGCCCCAGTTTCTTTTCCATTGTACAATGGGGGAGGGAGTGTAAGTCCCTCCCTGCATGTTTGAGTTTTTCGTTGCAATCTTTGAGACCCCTACTGCCCTGACACCTCCTCTGCTCTGCAACCCACCCCCTAGTATTCTGAGAAGGAAGCTCTAACAACCTCCATCCATGTGCCTTGAGCCCCTCCCAGTGCTGTAAGTCCCCCAGACTCGAGTGTTCTCAGCGCCCCTCCCCGAGAGGCTGGAGACCTGCACCACCAGGGCCTCTGGGAAGAGACAAATCACAGGGCAGAGTGACCGGTGGCCACGATGAGGGGCTAATGAGTGAGGCTACGGTCCCCGTGCCCCCTCCAAACCTGCCCCCACCTTCTGCTCCCCAGGTGTTTGAGAGAAGCTCAGTGTCTCCCCTCCCCCCCACGCCCCGCCGCCAGCCGATCCCCACCTTGCTGTCCCCCCCGGACCTGGGGCCCCCCAGGGGCTCAGCCCCGGGCCCTCCATGGAAGGTAACGGGCTGCCCCCCACCTCTCACAGCGCTCTCTCTGCCTGTGCCTCCACGCTTCCTCTCCTCACTTCTCACGCTAACCCGCCAGAACGTGTCACGTGCCCGAGTCCCGCCACTGCCACAACCTCACCCCGTGGACCACCCCTCCCCGCTCCAAGGACAGGAGCATCAACCTTCCTTCCCTCTCGAGACTCCAGCAGCCTGGCATCTGGTGGCCCCTTGGGTCTGCATTTCCTTACAGGCTTTGATTCTGCGCCTGGCCCCTGGTGGCTTGGGTATTTTATTCTGATCTAGAGCCAGAGTTTTAGGTCTGGCTCGAAGCCCAGGTTCTGTCTGGGTCCAAGATTGGAATTTGGATCTTGCTTGCTACATGACTTTAGGCCCAGCTCAAAACCTGACTTTGTCTTGAAGCCTTGCCTAGTCCCTGCCCCCATCTCCCCACTCGGCTGCCTGTGCCAGGCGGGGGCTCTGTTTCTCTGCCTAGAATCTATGCCTTGTGCTGGGGGCCAGGACACCGAGGAGGAAGGCTCCTTTACAGCCTCTCTCCCCAACCCATGGCCCCACCTGGTCAGAGAGCTTGGGATGGAAGAAGTCCATGTGCTTCCTTGGCTGCTGGTTCCGTCTTTCAGCATTGGGAAGTTCTACCTTCACTCTAACTTCAGTCCTTGCTGCTGTCCTGCTGCACTTATTTCCTTTTTATTCTTTCTTGGGAATTTGTGGGTGACCTGCTGTCTGCTCCCCAGGGGACTGTGCTTGGGGAGGGGGAGTCGGGGGGCAGTGGTCTGAGCATCTCTCCCTCTGCCCAGTCAGGTTGGAGCAGGAGGGCCTCTGGTCTGGGGAGGCACACACGTGGTCACCTGTCTTGTCTGGCTCTCTGGGCCCACACTGCTGGCTGCCACCTGATCTCTAGCCTGGCTTGAGGCCTGGTGGTGCTTTGGCTCCCTGGCGGGGGGAGCAGATGGGCAGTGAACAGGTAGACAGGCTGTCTGCTGGGCAGAGCATGGGCACAGAGCAGTCCAAGGAGCTGTCTGGGGGTGAGTGGTGTGGCAGCGCTGTGCTAAGCCAGCTGTGCCCTCAGCGCCTGGGCACGCTGCACCCAGCCACTACTCCTTTCTGGCCCTGGAAGCTCCTGAAGGGGTCCGGCGGGCAGAGCCCCTCCACTGGCCCTTTGGGCTGGCTGCCCCCCTGCATCCTGAGGCGCCATCAGGCAGTGGAGCCGGGTGGGCGTGGGTCGCCCTCACTGACTTCCCAGTCTGCACCTCCCGCATCCAGGTAAGCAGGTGGCAGAGCTGGGTGGGTTCCCTTGGGAGGGGGGCTGGGGGTCCCTGCTGCCCCCCACATGTCTCCTCATGGCTCATTTTAGTGGCAAGAGCACTGGACTTGGAGTCAGAGTTCTTGGGTTCAAGTCCTGGCTCTGCCACTAGCTAGCTGTGGGTAAGTGATCTTGAGTAAATTACAGGACACCCCCTCACACACCTGTTTCCTCATCTGTAAAGTGATAAGAATAGTAGCCGTTTCATGGGGAACAGAAAGGATTAAAGATGAAGGCGTATGTAGCAGTTCCTGGTATAAGACTGCTCAGAATTAGACCAGAGTTTATTCGACTGGGGTAGGGGTGACTGTGGGCATCTCTCTGTGCCCCCATAAAAGCCAGAGCCAGGGGTGCTCACCCAGAGGCGGGTGCTCTAGCTCTGCCCAAGCTGGTGCAGCGGAGGACTTGGCCAAGCCCTGCCCACTGTGGCTGTGAAGCCCTCAGAGAAAGCTCAGAAGTAGGGGGTGGGCATGAGGAATCTGGCCTAAGATGAGGATGTCAGACCCATGCTCTGAGGCCAGAGGCCAACACCTGGTCTCCACCCCCATGGGGCTGCGGGTCTCGGACATTCAGTTCTATGTTACGAATAGCTAACATCTATCAAACACTTACACCGTGCCAGGCACTGTTCCGAGCACATGCTGACGTGAGCTCACTTCATCCTCCACCAGCCTTGTGTTATTGTTACCCCATTGCACAGACAGGCAAACTCCTGGCAGTAACCATGAGACCTGCTCCCAGAACTTAACATGGCTGCTGAGAAGTAAACATGTATAGTGGGACTTCCCAGGTGGTCCTAGTGGTAAAGAACCCACCTACCAATGCAGGAAACGTCAGAAGCTCGGAGTCAGTCTCTGGGTTGGGAAGATCCCCTGGAGGACAGCATGGCAACCCACTCCAGTATTCTTGCCTGGAGAATCCTCATGGACAAAGGAGCCTAGCAGGCTCCCAGTCCATAGGGTCACAAAGAGTCGGACACAACTGAAGTGACTTAGCACGCACGCCTCTGTGCTTCTAAGTAAATTGGCATCTTTGCCAGGAGGTGGAGACGATAGAGTGTGGTGAAAAGAGGCCTGAGTTCTAGTCCAGCGTTGCCTCTAACTTGCTGGGTGAACTCAGTTGGGACCTTCCCCTGCCTCAGTTTCCCCATTGCAACAGGAAGGGACTGGGCTCACCCACATGCACCCCCCTCCCAACTCGGGGGTGTTTGGTTACAGGGATCACACCCTCCCTCATCTCTCTTCTTCCTTCAGGCTGCCGCAGGCCCGAGGCCCTTCTCTGTCCCCCGGATCATCTTGACGGAATGTGCTCCCCACCCTCCCTCCCCACCAGAGACCAGGCTTGAGGAACCTGGTCTTGGAACAACCCCCACCCCACGACCCCGGACCCTGGCCAGCGGCCTCCTGTTCCGGGATAATCCACCAGCCCCACCAGGGGTGGTGGCTGCGGCTTCCCAGGCCTGGAACAGCCCGATGCTAGAGAAGGAAGGGGCGGCCCCGAAGACACTGGTGACAGGGGACTGCAGCCCAGAAAGGGGAGGAGCTGGGATCCCCAGTCCTTGGGGACCTGCCCTAGAGCGGACCCAAGAACCCTCCACTGCGGAGACCTCCCCAGAGGAGACCCACAAAGACTCTGGGCACCACACCCCACCCTGCAGTGGGGAGCACAAGGCTCAGCGTGCTGCCATCACCCAGCGGATGGACAGCCTGGAGGAGACACTCCGGGAGCTGGAAGCCACTCTGAGCCAGATGGGCATGGCCTCTGCCACAGGGCCCCCTGGCAGCCCCCCACCTCTGCCCCCTGGCCCCCAGGTGGCTGCCTGCCACTCCATCCTCTCCACTTGTCTTCCTGCTCCAGTCTCTCTGTCTTCAGAGCTGGAGGGAGTCGGGGTCTGCAGGAGCACCATGCCAGCTCCCCTCCGCCTACTGGCCTCTCTCAGCCCCGCCACCCTCCTGAGAGCCTGGTGCCAGGCTGGGTTTGCAGGCAAAGCCCCTGGCAGGCTGGGAAGCTGTCCTGCCCAGGGATCAGCCTAACCAGCCCTGGCGGGGACCAGGGCCTCTCCCCTTTGTTCTGTATCTGTAAACCAACAAATAAAGTTCTTTCCCCCTTTTCCATCCCCACACTCCCCTTCTCCTCTCCTGTCTGACTTTCTCTGTCTCTGTGGTTTCTCTGCCTGCGCTTCTGGATCCCCAAAGCCCTTCTGGGCAGGCCTGGTCCCTGGAGTTGTTCAAGGGGGCTGGACTTGTCCATCTCTAGGGAAACTTCGCCCCTATCCTCCCATTCAAAGGAAAGTGTGGGCCTGGGGCTGCCAATCCTACTTTGGTGGCAATTATAAAGACCGCTGGGCTTCCCTGATAGCGCAGTTGGTAAAGAATCTGCCTGCAACGCAGGAGACCCGGGTTCGATTCCTTGGTCGGGAAGATCCGCTGGCGAAGGGATAGGCTACCCACTCCTGTGTTCTTGGGCTTCCCTTGTGGCTCAGCTGGTAAAGAATCCACCTGCAATGCAGGAAACCTGGGCTGAATCCCTGGGTTGGGAAGATCCCCTGGAGATGGGAAAGGCTACCCACTCCAGTATTCTGGCCTGGGGAATTCCATGGACAGTATAGTCCTTGGAGTCGCAAAGAGTTGGACAAAACTGAGCAACTTTTACTTTCATAAAGACCCCTCTCCCAAATCTCGGGTGTGTTCTCCAGGACCCAGGATGGAGCCCCTTGCCAGGAGTGAGGATGATGCCAGGGACCCTCCCTTTAAAAACGGTCCCCCCAGAAGGGCACCAGCTGCCCCTGGGCCACCTAAGGGAACCACCAAAGAGCTCTCACTTGGGAGTTTCTGGGAATCTGGCTGGGGTTCTGTCCCCTCCCCTGCGGGGAAGCCTTAACCCTGGCCTCAGAGAGTGGGCCTGAGTCCTGGATGGGGGTATGAAGCTCTGGGGAGGGCTCTCCAGGTCTCAGAGGGCCTACTGTACCTAGGGCGCCTGTGTGATCCCATCTCCAACTCTGACTCTGTTCCTCTTCGTGCAGAGCGGCGGTGGCAGCGTGCCCCCCATGAAGGTGGTGACTCCAGGGGCCTCTCGGCTGAAGGCGGCCCAGGGCCAGGCAGGCAGCCCCGACAAAGGCAAACATGGCAAGCAGAGGGCCGAGTACATGAGGATCCAGGCCCAGCAGCAGGTAGGCCTAGGCACCAGGGGGCAGGGCCGCGGCCCACGCAGACCCCACTCCCCACCTCACCTCCAGCCCCCGGCGGCGCTGTGCGCTCCAGCTGGGTGCTGGCTGCCTCCCGCCGGTATTCCTGTGACCACCCTCCTGCGGCTGTCGAGGGAGGTCCTCCCGGCCAGGACTACCCCACCGGCCCCTCAAACCATTTTCTGCTTCCTCCCTCCAGTACCGGTGCTCAGGATCTGGTTGAGAACATAGCCAGATCACTGGTCACTGCTCTCGCAGAAGGCCCCTCACTCAGGGCCAGAGAGGGCCATGTCCCCTGCTGCTCCTGGGCAAGGCGGAGTGAGCAGACCCCAGTGCCTGGGCCCTTCTGAGGCCGGTGCCCTGGGCGTGGGAGGGGCCTTTACTCCTGGTCTTCCGGCCACTCTTCCCCCTCCTCTGCCTCCCGCCCTCCGCCCTCAGGTCCCACCTGCTCCTTGGCCCTCTTCTCTCAACTCGGCCTCCCTCCTGGCTCTTTAGGCCACCTCCCAACTGAGGGAGAAACCAGTCTTGCATCTCCTTTTCAGTCTTGTGTTTGGGTTGTAGTGGGATGCATAGAAGTGGTGAGGGTGCTGTACCCTCTTTGAGATTAAAGGATGGTAGGTAGAGGTGACAGCCTCACCCATGGCCCACCTGTGGCCTGATCAGAAGATGCAGGGTGGTCTAGATGTCAGACCTTTAGTTCCCTCATGTGGTTCAGAATTTCCAAGCATCTCCTGTATTCTAAGTGCTAGCGGGGGTTGGGGGAAGGAAATGTCCAGATGCTATGACTTGGAGAAGGGTCTAGGCTCAGAGGCAGGAGGTTAGAGATGGGTAAATCCAGTCACCTCCTTGACAGAGCAGGGGACAGCTGAGAAAAGGAAGGGAACTTCCCAAGGGCCCACAGCAAGGCGGCACCAGAGCCAGGACTGGGACCCCAAAATCTCAAAGCTCTTCCCACTGCACGGCTCTGCTCCGCCTTGGGCACACAGGCCTGCTGGTTCTCTCAGAGTCCAGTGGAGACAGGTCAGCCAGGCCTCCATTAGCTCCCTGCTGGCCTGCTGTCTTCCTCACAGGTCCCCAGACACACCCGGCTCTTTTTCGTGTCACCACCGTGTATGAGTTCCCTTGTCCTGTGCAGGCTGGTCTCTCCTCAGGGTCTAGAATGGCAGCTGACATTCTGCCAGACACACATTAACCCACTGCACACTCCCCACTCTGAGGAAGGGCCTTATTATCCCCATTTGACAGATGAAGAAACTGAGGCTTTACTGAAGGTCATATGGCTGACAAATGGTGGAGCGGGTTTCAAATCCAGACTGTCTGACACCTCTGTCTCTCACCCTCCACCCCTGCCACCCCTCTACCCTGGCACACATTTGCCTCATCTCTTCAGCGGGCGTCTCCTTCCTCTGTAAGTAGGTTCCCCATCTCTCCCCCTGGCTCCCAACTCCCCCGGCACCCAGCTCCTCTGCCGGCTGCCCTCTTTCCTGCCCCTCCAGTCACTTCCATCGCCTCTCCTCCATTCATTCCTTGGCCCAGGCCACTCTGAGCTTCACGCCTGGGCTCGGCTAGGTCTCCAGAGGCCTCTTTACCGCCCTGCAGTCTGCTCACCTCTCTGCAGCATGTTGGGTATACAGTCTGCCCCCACACACTGGGGGCCATGGGACCCTCCTCTCCTTGGCACCCCCCCTCCCTTGCCAGCCCTCACCTGCCTCCTGGCTCCTTTCTGGGAGACTCTCCTATGCCCACCTCTTCGCTCCTCTGTGCCCAACTTCCTCCTCAGCTTCTCACACCACACACTCCTCTCCTTGGGCACCACCTGCCATCTCTTCTGGCCCAGGTCTCTGTTCTGAGCTCAAGCCTGCCCACTTGCTCTCCCCTCAGGAAAGTCACCTGCCCCAGGCATCCACCCATGCCCATGGGGGGCTCTCCTGAGCTACCCCCTCCCTCAGGGATGCGGTGGTTCTCTCCTCCCACAGGACTGGTCTGGCTCTATCTCTCTCCCTTTCACTTTTCTAGTAAATGCTTTTTCTTTAAAAAAAAAAAAAAGGCATCTTCTCTCTAGTGAAGTATTACATGTTTCTTGTAGAGATGTTTTAGTAAAGAGACATCATAAAGAGGCAGGGAAACAAATCACCCAATGTGGCAGTACCCCAGTGCAAGCCTTCCTGAGGTTTCCCTGTGAATTCTGTGACCTCTCTCCTATCCTCCCAGACCTGCGGGGTGGGGAGGGCTATTTTAAAATGCAGATTGGGTTGTATCACTGCCCCAGCTTACCACCTGTGCCCTGCAGACCCAGCTGGATTTAAAAAAAAATCAAAACTCCCTCATTGGCTGCCCTGACGCTTCAACTCCATTCGTTCTAGCTGCCCTGCATCACCTGGCCTTCTGTCCTCCAGCTGGGGCACCACTTCTCCCAGCTCTGTGACCCTGGTCAAAGTCCTCTGCCTTCTGCAGGCTCTTTCCTCGTCTGTACAATGGGGACAAGAACCCAGGGGCAGGCTTCTGAGCTCCTGTAATACTGGATGTGGAAAATAGCTTCGAAAGCCACAGCGTGCTCTCCAAAGAGGAGTCACCACTGGTCTCGACTGCACTGTCCCTTTGGCAGGGCTGGGGGCTGGGCAGAGGCCTCTCCCTCACTTCTTGGTTCTATCACTAGGAGCTCCAAGCTGCCTTGGCAGTGATGAAAGGGAGAGGAATAGAAGCGCCAGGATGAGATACAGAAATTGGGGTAGAAGAGTGGAGAAAGGGGTACAACTGTGCCTGGTATTACAGGGAAATCAGGGGAAATGATTGAGGAAAAGCGCTTGGATGTTGTGCTCAAGGGAGTGGGATGGACTTTCCTAATGGTCCAGTGGTTAAGAATCTGCCTGCCGATGCAGGGAACATAGGTTTGATCCCTGGTCCAGGAAGATTCCACATGCCTCAGGGCGACTGAACCCATGCTCCACAACTGCTGAGCTTACACTCTAGAGCCTGTGTTCCATGACAAGAGAGACCACCTCAATGAGAAATCCTAGCACCGCAACTAGAGAGTAGCCCTCACTCGCTGCAACTGGAGAAAGCTAGTGTGCTGCAACAAAGACCCAGTGCTGTCTAAAATAAATAAATAACTACATTAAAAAAAAAAAAGATTCAGGGGTGAGATAAGAACCAGATTCCCAGGGGACAAGGATCAAGGGCTTGGTGCGAGCATGAAAACTGAACACACCCTCTTCTACTTGGGCTAAGCAATCTGCTAAATACTTAGTGTATCTCCTTGGATGACTCCAGTGATGAGGCTGTAATGAAGTGAACAACAGGAGATGTTCAGGCACTCAGGGACCAGTGAGAGCTGGAAGCTGGACCTCCTTGGGGAGAGGGACCTGGGAGCTTAGGGAGTCCTGTGAGAGCTAAACAGTAGGCGCTATATTTACAGAGGGCACAGCATGTCTGCAACACACACCGAGTCGGGAGGGAGTAGAGGAGAAACTTTACCCCCTCTCTCCCCCCACCCCGTCCTAACCCCCATTGGCCAAACTCAACAAGAAGCCAGTCAGCCAAGGGATGGCGGGGTCGACCAACCTGGCCACAGAGTAGAAATCAGATTTGGGGAATGCGAGGAAAAATAGAAAATAGCACTCCTTTTCTGTACCAATTTTAAGCATATATATCTTATTTAATGCTCTGAACAACTTTATATCTTCATACGTGCATTAACCACTTTGTCACTGCTACATGCCTACAGCACCTAGAACAGTTCTCGGCACATGCAGGCACTCAGTAAATATTTGTTGGCTAGGTGAATGAGTGGATGGATGAATGAATGAATTTGCTAGTGATCAGGCCCAATCCAAATGGAAATATACAATGCAGACTTGAAATATGAATATACTAATGATATAATAATAATACCAGCTACCATTTATCGCCTGCATCCTGAGAGCAGGCACTGGGTCTTGGGCTCTGTGTACAGTATCTCAACATGATTCCAATGCTGTAGGGTCTGTTATTCTTGCTTAGCGGGTGAGAACATGAAGATCCAGAGAGATACCTGCCAAAAGTCGCACAGTTAGGAAATGGCAGAGCCGGGCTTAAAGCGATTTGCCAGGTACAAATGCTGCTGTCCTAATGCTGCATTCTGCTGCTTTGGCGGGAAGCATAACTTTGTGGCTGCCACCAAGCTTTGGGGAGCTGCTACTCATGATGGGGATGCTGTTGATGAGAACATCAAGGGAGCAATTTTGGCCTCACTTGGGGCAGTTTGAGTAGTTTTAGCCACAAATAATAGAAACTCCAGTTCAAAATAGCTTAAGCAGCAAGGAAAAGTTTTATCAGAACAAGTAGCAGGGAGGCTCCGGGGTTGGGGAATTCATATACTCAAGGACATCAGGACCTGGGTGCCTTCCATATTTTGGTTCTATTGGCACATCCTCCCACCCACACCCCAGCACAGCTGCCTTCATTTCAGGGCTGTGAGTATATGGATCATTTCTTTTTTAAAGCTTGATTTAAAAAAATTTATTTAATTATTTTTGACTGCTGGGTCTTGGTTGCTGCAAGGGCTTTCTCTGGTTGTAGCGAGTCAGGGCTACTCTCTGATCGCACTGTGCGGGCTTCTCATTGTGGTGGCTTCTCTTGTTGCGGAGCACAGGCTCTAGGCATGTAGGCTTCAGGAGTTGTGGCACACGGGTTTAATTGCCCTGTGTCTTGTGGGATCTTCCCAGACCAGGGATTGAACCGGTGTCCCCTGCATTACAAGGCAGATTCTCAACCATCAGACCACCAGGAAGGCCCCCAAAGATCATTTTAGAAGCAGGAGGACCTTCCCCAGAGACTCCCAGCTGATCTCCCCTCTCTTCTGATTACCTGTGCCTAGGTCATCATTGGCTAGAAGGGAACAGCCTGAACTGCCATTGGTTCTATTCCCCCTTGGGCTAGAGGAAACCCTGCCTCTTCTGGCAGCCCAGTGACTGATTGAGGCAAATAATAAGGGTTAAGGGCATGTGGGCAGGGGACAGTGGCACCGGGAATGACCTTGGAGGAGGCACCAACCCGGCTGGCAACATCAAGATGATCTGTTATTATGTGGGTGATGGTGCTCAGTCGTGTCTGACTCTTTGCCCCCATGGACTGTAGCCTATCAGGCTCCTCTGTGCATGGGATTTTCCAGGCAAGAATACTGGAGTTGGTTGCCATATCCCACTCCAGGGGATCTTCCCAACCCAGGGATTGAACCCAAGTCTATTGCATCTCCCACATTGGCAGGCAGAGTTTTTACTCTTCAGCTACCTGGGAAGCCCCAAGATGGCCTATACTTGCGTGGGAATCTGTGTATCATAGCCTGGAGGGACAGGTCAGCATGCTCAGGGTGCCTTGAGAGGGCTACACTCTGGCCCACAGGAAGAGGAGGGGTGTGGAGTTCAGCCCTTTGAGTGGGTCTGGCTAATGGTTCCTGTTTCCCCCCGCTAAAAGCTGACCATCTGGGTATGAGGTTTCTGCCTGTCACAAAGGTGGCAAAGCTCTTTCTCTGGACATAATTAAGAGCAACGGGGGAGGACTGGCTGGTGACAGGGAAGCAATGAACACCTTCAGAGGCAGCAGCTCTATCAGCCGGGAACTCTGAGCGGCATAGGGTCACTGGGGATGGTTGGACACGTTCCCTCAGCTTCAGAGGAGTGGTGGGCACTCTCCTGGAAGGGAAGATGGCCTGAGAGGATGTTACAAAACAGATGCTCACAGAGCAAGCAGAAGAGGTGTCCATGAAAAGCAGGGGCCTCACCTAAGCTGGTGACTGCTGCTGCTCCATGAAGCTTAAAGGCCTTGCACCAGCTATGGGAGAAGAGGGAGGGGGCATCTTCCCAATGAGGACACCTCGCCTGAGTGAACGCAGGAGTCAGGGGGCAGCACAAGCTGGGAGGGAGGTGTTCAAGAGACCAAAGTTCGGGACAGAGTGAGGCTCTTGACAAATGCTAAAGGGAAGGAACAGGAAAGGCTCGTAACTAGAGAGGCGAGCTGAGACCAAAGCGGACAGCCAGGAGGGAACCAACAGCTGACTTGGGTCGCAAGGGGATGTGAAGAGACTCGGGAGAAAGTGGACAGGTCCCCTTGCCCCCCTGGGTTTGGGAGAAAAAACTCTAAATGGGAAATGGTGGGAGGGGAGGGGCGGGACTGGAGCCCACAGTAAATGATGAGGGAGTAAGAGAGCTCCTGGTTGTCTTTAAATGAGTCTGTCTCCAGGCCGGGGTACCGGGACCCCTGCAACACGGGCCATGCCAGGCACATGGGTTCCACAAAGGGCTGAGCAATTCGAAGTATGTGGGGGCTGCGGGCCTGGAACCCCTCTGAGAAAGGAGTGAGCAGCCACAGTCAGGATGAAAGGGGTTAGAAGACCCAAACAGTGAACTCATGCCTGGATTTTCATAAAGGGGAAAATGTAGACCGCAGACCACAGTGTGGTGAGCAAAACCCAGAGATAGTTTGCTGTGCACATGTGGATGAAGAAATGTGATCAGCAACCTCAAGGGCAGGTTCACTGTCAGCCAGTCAGGTGCCTGTGGTCACTTCCCTTCCTGGTGGCAGGGGGCATCTTGCTTTCCACTCCCCCACCCCCCCGCAGGGCATCTGCTAGAGGCTGCCAAGCAGCCAGATAATTATGTAGGTCGAGGAGAAGCGGCGTGGCCATGCCCAGGCGGGACCTGCAGGACGTCTCTGGCGGTGTGCCAAGCACTCTGCTTCCAGTCCACGTCCCTGTTTTCTTTAATCAGGGCAGTTTGGTTATCACACGAGTAGTGGCTAAGCAAGGCAGGGAGGGACAGTGGATACAGCCACAGGGAGAAAACCTGGTCTATGTTACCCTAACCCAGTGATCTCAGAGTTAACTGTGTGGCAGGATCACGTGGGGCGCTGGCCTAAAACGCAGATTCCTGGGCTCACAGGACAGATGGATCCTGGGGCAGGGTCCAAGAATCTGCATTTGTCAGAGGTCATCCCCTTTAGGAAATCTAGATGGGTCTAGAACTCTCTCACATCTCCAGGGCCAGTGTAGGTGCTAGGGGTCTGCTGGAGGTGGGGAGGGGGCACGGCTATTTCTAACTATCAGAGGTGACCAGTGAGTGCCAGACACGTCTTGAGAGGGTGGCTCCCCATTACCCACAAGGCACAGCTCAACGCTGGAGGAACACTTGTGGGGCAGGAGGTGGGGGTGGGTGTGGGGGTCCTGAGGGTTCCAGGAGGACAAGTGCACTCTTCAGCTGCCACTGGAAGACCTCCTGCTGAAGTTGGAAGGGGCCCTGGTTGGGCTGCTTCTCCCCTCCTGCCTCCGTTTGGGCAGCTAATGGCTGCCCTCTCCCCCTCCCCACCTGGTCTGGTTCTGCTCCCTCTCCTGCTCCTCATTCTGGTCCTGGGCTGGCCTTCCTTGTGCTTCTCCGGTCTCTCTCCCGCCTTCTGTCTTTCCTGTCAGTAACTGTGGACTTAACCGCCCACTCCAGGTCCTTTGTTCCAACTTCGTGTTCCCCTTTCTACCCCTGCTCTGACACCTTCCTGCCCTGTCTCAGAAGACCACTCTCTCCAGATGCTCCTCTGGTTTCTGGTTTTTGCAGTTAGTTTTCTCTTGGATTTGTGGAGATTTTTCATTTTTTAAAACTGTAGGGTGGGATAAATTGGGAGATTGGGATTGACATATAAACACTACTATGTATTAAAGATTAGGATTCCCTGGTGGATCAGATGGTAAAGCGTCTGCCTGCAATGCGGGAGACCCGGGTTCGATCCCTGGGTCGGAAAGATCCCCTGGAGAAGGAAATGGCAACCCTCTCCAGTACTCTTGCCTAGAAAATTCCATGGATGGAGGAGCCTGGTGGGCTACAGTCCATGGGGTCGCAAAGAGTCGGACACGACTGAGCGACTTCACTTTCTTTCACTTTCTGTGTATAAAACAGATAACTGAGAACCTAAAAAAACTAACTGGGGGCCAGCACAAAGGCTCCCCTTCTCTCTGACCCCAACCTCTGTTTTTGTTCTAGGCCACTAAACCATCTAAAGAGATGAGTGGTTCGAATGAGACCTCAAGCCCAGTCTCAGAAAAGCCTTCGGCTTCCAGAACCTCCATCCCCGTATTGACTTCCTTTGGAGCGAGGAATTCTTCCATCTCCTTCTAGAAGCTTCCTTATAACCTCACCCCAGCCTGCCCTCCTCCCTCTTCCCTTCCATATCTCTCTTTCCTCTGCTTCCCTTCATTTCCACCTCATTGTCCAGAATCTCTGAAGAGTTTGCCATGGATGTGGCCCTCTCAGCTCTCTCTGCCCATCCCCTGTTGGTGTTTTTGGTTTTTTGAATGATTCATTTTTGTCTTTTTTTTTTTAAGGGGAAAAAAAAAAGCAAACCAGTAAAACTAAAGACCAAAACACACCACCTTCCCTTGATTTCTTATTCCAAAATGGCGCACTTCCTGTCACCATCCTTTCCTTTTCCCTTTCCCCATGCTCCCTCCCAAGTCCATCCTGAAGTTCCTCCATCCCTGCCCTCCCTTCTCACTCCCCCCCGCCCCATGCTTCCCAAGAGCACTCCAAACAAACTCTGAGCCACGGAGACTTGGAGGGGCAAGACACCCCCTTTTCCCCTTCTTCAGAAACCTTCCTGGAGGAAAACCTGGACATTGGACCAACCCAAAATTCAGGCTAGAAAATTGGACATAAGGAGACTTTGGCCCGGGAGGTGCCACACCTGCCCACCCTCAGGACATGACTGAATTCTGCTGCTTCTCTGCTCCCATCCACTCATGCCCAGGTGGGCCTGGAGTCAAGACAGGTGGGCTGGAGAGGGAGGCCAGAGTCAGAGGGGCCTCAGGGTGGTGTGACGCCACTGAATCTGTGTGTCCCTGGAGAGGAGCTGGCTTCCCGGGACCACCTCCCTGCGGTGAGGAGCTGCCTGGCCCGTGCCAGTGGGAGGAACGGGGCACCTTTGGGCTGCTGGCTGTGGACGGTGGGTTGAGCAGAGAGCCTGATGCTGGGGATACTGCCTTGGGAGAGGGCAGCCCCGAGGAGGGGTATCTGGTACTTTTAGTTTCCTAATTTAGCACTTTAAATGACATTAACTTATTTAATGGGGTGGGATGGATAAGAATGAAAGGCCTAGCAAATTAGACTTGGAGGCCTGGAGGGTGGGAAGGGTCTTGTTGTGAGGGAAGAGGGGGCAATAGAGAGGGGGTTGATGGGGGGCAGTGAGGACAGCTCTGACCCCACAGGTGGGCTGACTTGACCTTTAACCATCCTCTCTGAGATTTGAGGGTTTTCAGGGAAGGCATTAGAGATGGTTTTTAAAATGGGGAGCTGGTGACCCTGGTGAGATTCTCAAGGGTCCTTGAGGCCTGACCAGCCAGCCAGTGCCCCCAACCTCAGGCCCGTGGGCACCGGCCTTGCAGAGGCTCTGGGCAGTGAGGCTTTTGGTGGGGGTCCTGAAAAGGGGAGGGAGAGATCAGTTTTGGCTCTCAGCAACCCCCCCCACCCTCAGGGCACAGTGAGGGGCCAGCAGGGAGATTCTGTGGGTGGGGGAGGAGGAGGATGGAGAGGGGTCCCCAGGGAGCAGGATTCCTGTTTGGAGCACAAAGTGGAGTAAGCACAGGGGAGGAGGGGGTTGGGATTAGTCACCAACCCCCCAGAAAGCACAGAAAGAAGGAGCCGTTGAAGGAGCAGAGCCTTCTGGGGCCTGGCGCCTGAGGAGAGCCAGGGGGAGCTGTTGAGGGTTGGGGAGGGAGGGGACACTGGGTTGTGTTACTTCATTTTCTTTTTTCTGTTGCTGTTTTTGTTGGTTCATCCTTGTTTTCTAGCTTTGGATCATTTTTGTACAAAGGCAAGCAAGCCTTTTTGAAAAATAACAAAAGAAGAGGAAAAAAAAAATCCCTCCCAAAAAAAAAACCCTGGAAAATAGGAAAAAAAAAAAAAAGGACCTCATAAATGATGCAATTACTTTTAATTGCAGGCAACTCTTTACATTTAAGTGAAGTGTCTTAACATTTTATATTGTTTTAAAAATATATTTACATATTATATATATATAATATACGTAATATAAATATATATAAATATTTTAAAAAGAAAAAAAAAAAAGAAAACCACAGCACTCTCCCTGGCCGCTGTTTTGGCGGGGGAGGGGGCTGGAGGGTGGGCGCATTGGCCTGGTTTCTGTGGTCCAGTGAAATGGTTTGGTTTGATTCGGCTGTACAGAGACCCCTGACTTGGGAGGGGAGGGGGGAGTGGTGCCCCCTCCTCCCTCCACTCCATTACTCTTTGCTTGCTACTTTTCCCTTGCCCCACCTCCCACCCTCAGCCCTGTGCCCTGTATGTTTGCCTCACCGTCATTGTCCTGAGTTGAATGTCCCTTTGTGAGGGAGGGGAATGGGGCGTGTCCATCCAGGAGGGGGCAAATGGAGGGAGTCGTGTGCCCCACCCCACCCGCTGCTAATGTGGAGCCCAGTGGAATTTGTACCTTTCACTTTGGTGCCAGTACATTTATAGGAGGAGTTGTGCACAACTTCTGTGTGTGTGTGTGTGTGTGTGTGTGTCTGTGTCCACGGGCACTAGTCCATTTATCGGTGTGCAGAGGAGAGGAGGCATGAGCATGCACAGACATGGCCTCCCGCCTGTGTGTGCAGGGAGGCAGGCCCACAGTGGTGCATGTAACCAGCCTGGGTGTTGGCACGCACGCACCGGCACCTTGGCGTGGAGAAGCTTGGCGTGTAAGAACGTGTGTAATATGTGTGTGCAGACGCAGCAGCCGTGAGACCTGTATGTGTACATGGAGGGGTGTACATGGAGGTGCGTGTGTGCACATGTGTGTAGACCCCAAGTGTAGAAGCGCCTGAGTGTGTGTTCCCTCATCCCTGCACCACTGGTTCTGGCACTCCTCTCAAGCCCCCAGCCCCGGGCCCTCTCAAAGTCCCCAGCACGTCAAAGCCCCCCAGCTGCATGCGCCTCACTGCTCCGTCCATCAATGTGTGCTTGACCAAGAGAAAACCAAGACGTCTGGGGGGACCCCTGTACCTGGTCCCCCCAGCCCCTGCCCACTGTGCTGTGTTACTCGCATGGGGGGTTTCTCTCCCACCCCTTCCACAATATGCTGTTTCCCCAGGAGCCTCAGGCCTGAGGCTCTGCAAAGGGTCCCACCTGGGACCCCCCAGGGTGAGCCTGGCTCATACCCCACCCTGTCCCCCGTAGGGCCCATGTTGGTGTAGCAGTGATGGCTTCTGTGGGTATTCTGTGACCTCTGTCAGTGTAACTTGACAATTTCTAAATGGAAAAGGGTTGCTGTGTTTTCTCTGTCTCTTTTCTAATGTCCCTTTTCTTCCCCCACTTTCCTGCTCTCTTTCCTTTTTGGTTTTTCTAGCTGAGTGTTTGGGGCTTAAATAAAATTTGTTTCTTTTTCCTCTCCTGGATCTCCTTCCTAGAGGCTGCTGTCTCATTATTTCTCATCTTCACCCTGGAAGGTGCTGGGGCGGGTGGGGGGAGGGGGAATTCCTGGCAGCCAACTGCCTTACGACTTAGGGGGCAGAAGACCTAGTGGGCAGAAGACTTAGCAGGCAGAGCACGAAGTGGGAGAGGTGGAATCAGGGCCTGGGGGGGCTGTTGCTGCCCGCAAGAGCCCTTGAGAGCCAACATCATCTGGACACTGGAGAGGAACCCCACGAACTCATGGGGTGCCAGCTCTCCTCCATCAGCGAGGCTGCTGCTGGCATCACTGATACCTGCAAGTGACAAAGCCAGGCGTGTTAGGTGTCTTAGCGACCGTCACACAGCTAGTTAGATGCACAGTCAGCATTGGAGTCCAGCTCTGTCCGACTCCAAAACCAATGCCTCCCCCCAAAAACTGAATCCAGTCTGCTTACCTCCAGCTGTTCCCTGGATCAGGCCTCAGCCTCCTGCCCTTTGGGTGAACTGACCCTTTAATGGTCTCCACCCATCCTATTAAGAACATCAGCTTTCAAATTGTTTTTTTTCAGCTGTATCTCAGTAAGAAATTCATTTTACATCTCAGTGATTTAGACGTGTCCACACACACACAAACACCCACATATTTAGTGAAATAGCACCTACTGTATACTATGCACTCCACTATTTTCTGTTAAATCTTATTTTATTATTTTCTGTTAAATTTTAAACATTTGGTCACAGCCCACTCTGGATTTCATAACCCTTGAAAGGGTCAAAACCCACAGCTTGCAAAATACTAGTCTGAAGATTTAGCCCCAGTCACATAGCATTTCTGCTTTGTCCTCCTCAAAGGCCTACTGGTTCCTCTTACACCATGCTCACCTCTGAAATTGGAAGACCCCTGACAGGAGATTTACCCTAGATGCTGGTTGGGTGGAGCCCTGGACCCTGACCCTATAGCCAGCAAGCTGCCTGAACCCTTCCAGGCTACCACGTCAGAGTCTAGCCTGCCCTGCCATCAAGTGGGCCAGCTGACCTGCTTTGGTTTTTCAGGTTTCCCTGGAATTCTGAAGGCTGTGCCACTGTCCCAGCGTGTTCTAATCATCCTTGAGGCTGCCCTTCTAGGCACTGCCCAGCGTGGCTGAGACCTGGCATATTATTCGGTTTCCTCTACCTCCCCCTGTAAAACCATCCCTTCTATCCCATGAGATAATGACAGTGGCCTAGAACCACCCTTTTCCGGGCCTCGTTGGAACCCAGTGACACTTAGGTTGAGGATGTGCTCTCTGTCTGCACGGAATGCCCCCTCCCTGGGTCACCCACCTGCCAAGTAGCCCTTGAGGTTTGACTGAAAGTCAGACCCCACCCCTTTTGTCCTTTTTAAAAGGCAGCAGATCTTGCCTTCTCTCTCCCATCCTATTTCCAGAAAGCTGGGCAAGTAGCCAAAACCCCTTCATCTTCCAGAATCACCCCGTTCACCATCAGTTCAAGATCAAGTCATAAATGGGATGCATGGCAGGAGTTACGCCAGGCACTTCATTCGTCCTTCAGATACCTCCCCGCTGTCTGCTCCTGGCTGGGCACTGCTTACTGATTCACTGGGACTATGGCTCAGCGCCTAGGAGGAGACCCAGCCAAAACAGAAGTTCCTGAGCAAAATCATGACAGACAGTGAGCCGTGCCCCAGGAAGGCAAGCAGGCCTGCAAAGGTGGTAGCTGTGAGTAATGAAGATCACCTCAGAGAGTGTGACCAGAGGCCTTGAGGTCACATTTGAGGGAAGGTCTTCAGTACCCACAAGGGGACTGTCTGGGAGCTGGTGGCTGGGTGTCCCACACAGAAGGCCCTGAGGTAGGAAGTCATCTGTGGGTTCTAGAAAATGAATGAAACCCAAGTAGATTGAGAACTGGCAAGGGGGCGCAGCGTCACAGGAGGTCTTGGTCTTGGGCAAATGTAGCAAGGAAGGTGGGTTTCTTCTCAGAGCCATTGAACAAATAGGAGGGTCAAGTCAGAAGGTGACATGATCTGACGCTGTTTTTCAGAGTTTACCTGTGGCTGTGGTGTGATGAGGTGGGGTGAGGGTGGGGTGCAGATGATGGCTACCTGAACTCATTCACAGTGAACAATCTGATGGCTGAGGGAGGGGAAACTGAGTCTTAGAGACTTTGTAGCTACAAAGTGATGGAGCTAAGACTCAAACCCATGACTCATCTCTCCTGTTAGCCATGCTTTCTTGGTGCTTTTAATACTCATCATTACACATATTAAGGACTTCCCAGGTGGCTCAGTGGGTAAAGAATCCATCTGCAATGCAGGAGATGCAGGAGACACAGGTTTGATCCCTGGCTCGGGAAGATTCCCTGGAGATAGGCATGGCAAACCACTCCAGCACATGTGCCTGGAGAATCCTATGGACAGAGGAGCCTGGCAGGCTACAGTCCATGGTTGCAAAGAGTCGGACACGATTAAAGCAACTGAGCACACAAACACACATAGTAAGTGTTCATTTAATCCTTACCATATGTGCTATCCTCCTGTCTACTGATGGGGAGAGTGACTGAGCCAAGGATCTGACTGACCTCAGGTTGGTCTCAGAACCAGATTCTAATTGATAGTAGAAAGGGGGCTTCTTTACCAATAAGAACCT